TGGTCATTGGCAAACTTCAGACGGGCCTGGACATGCGCTGGCTTGAGCAGGGGGACCTTGCGTGCGCTGCAGGATTTTAATCCATGACGGCGTAGTGTGTTACTAATGGTTTTCTTTGAGACTGTGGTCCCAGCTCTCTTCAGTTCATTGACCAGGTCCTGCCGTGTAGTTCTGGGCTGATCCCTCACCTTCCTCATGATCATTGATGCCCCACGAGGTGAGATCTTGCATGGAGCCCCAGACCGAGGGTGATTGACCGTCATCTTGAACTTCTTCCATTTTCTAATAATTGCGCCAACAGTTGTTGCCTTCTCACCAAGCTGCTTGCCTATTGTCCTGTAGCCCATCCCAGCCTTGTGCAGGTCTACAATTTTATCCCTGATGTCCTTACACAGCTCTCTGGTCTTGGCCATTGTGGAGAGGTTGGAGTCTGTTTGTGTGTGGACAGGTGTCTTTTATACAGGTAATGAGTTCAAACAGGTGCAGTTAATACAGGTAATGAGTGGAGAACAGGAGGGCTTCTTAAAGAAAAACTAACAGGTCTGTGAGAGCCGGAATTCTTACTGGTTGGTAGGTGATCAAATACTAATGTCATGCAATAAAATAAAAAAGTCATACAATGTGATTTTCTGGATTTTTGTTTTAGATTCCGTCTCTCACAGTTGAAGTGTACCTATGATAAAAAATTACAGACCTCTACATGCTTTGTAAGTAGGAAAACCTGCAAAATCGGCAGTGTATCAAATACTTGTTCTCCCCACTGTACTTATTATGGACACAGCATGTCTTACACTAGTTATCTTGTTATTATTAGTTGTTGTTATTAGTCCCATACTTATTTTCCACCATAATTTGCAAATAAATTCATTAAAAATCCTACAATGTGATTTTCTGGATTTTTTTCCCTCATTTTGTCTGTCATAGTTGACGTGTACCTATGATGAAAATTACAGGCCTCTCTCATCTTTTTAAGTGGGAGAACTTGCACAATTGGTGGCTGACTAAATACTTTTTTTCCCTACTGTGTGTATATATATATATATATATATATTTATATATTTTTTTTTTTTTTTTTTTTTTTTTTTTTTTTGGTATGTAAATATATATATTTTTTAAAAGTGGCAATATGTACGTTTTTGGTGACCCGACCAAATTCACATGAAAATGTGAGCTATAGATCTATCATTCTATTTGAAAGTAAGTCTAAGAAACGGTAGATATGTTCTATGTGCGCTATTTCTATGCTTTCTGTTCTTACGTTTTATTTTTGCGTCTTTTACTTTCGGTTTTGTACACCAGCTTCAAACAGCTGAAACAACAATATTTTTGGTTATGGAAAATATATTTCACAGCGGTTTAGATGGTACAATGATTCTCTACAATATACTATCCTATTTTGTCACATAAACTGAAATTTGGCAACCTATCAGAGTTTTAGCAACCAGGAAATGGCGGAGCGTTTTCTGCGTAGTGCATCTTTAAATATTTTTTTGTTATGAAATATGTTTTCCTTCATTATTATTTTCCCCTAAGCCCCTCCCCTAACTGGAGTAAACTAGTAGACAACTATACTTAGTCTTCTACTTCCAGTTTATACATACTATATACATTTTATGGACACAGTATATTTTACATTAGTTATCTTGTTTTTTGTTATTTTTTGTCCCATCCTTCAGATACACTCAACCCCTCCCATCTATCTCTGAAGACCATCCAGTTTTGATTTCTATTTGCCATATATGTTTCGGCTGTGCTATGATGTTTCACAAAACGTCTGAACCTGTCTTTTCTCATAGTTTCTACAGATTTTGCGAAGAGTATTATTATATTATTGCTCGATTGACTATGACTTTTCAAATCACCCAGCAGTGCTATTTGCAGAGTTACACTACCGTTCAAAAGTTTGGGGTCACTTAGAAATGTCCTTGTTTTCCATGAAAACATACATGAAATGAGTTTGAATAGGAAATATAGCAAAATGCATAGGAAATGTAGTCATTGACAAGGTTAGAAATAATGATTTCTAATTGAAATAATAATTGTGTCCTTCAAACTTTGCTTTCGTCAAATAATCCTCCATTTGCAGCAATTACAGCCTTGCATACCTTTGGCATTCCAGTTGTCAATTTGTTGAGGTAATCTGAAGAGATTTCACCCCATGCTTCCTGAAGCACAAGCTGGATTGGCTTGATGGGCACTTCTTACGTACCATACGGTCAAGCTACTCCCACAACAGCTCAATAGGGTTGAGATCCGGTGACTGTGCTGGCCACTCCATTATAGACAGAATACCAGCTGACTGCTTCTTCCCTAAATAGTTATTGCATAGTTTGGAGCTGTGCTTTGGGTCATTGTCCTGTTGTAGGAGGAAATTGGCTCCAATCAAGTGCCGTCCACAGGGTATGGCATGGCGTTGCAAAATGGAGTGATAGCCTTCCTTCTTCAAGATCCCTTTTACCCTGTACAAATCTCCCACTTTACCACCACCAAAGCACCCCCAGACCATCACATTGCCTCCACCATGCTTGACAGATGGCAACAAGCACTCCTCCAGCATCTTTTCATTTGGTCTGCGTCTCACAAATGTTCTTCTTTATGACCCGAACACCTCAAACTTCGATTTGTCTGTCCATAACACTTTTTTTCCAATCTTCCTCTGTCCAGTGTCTTTGTTCTTTTGCCCATCTTAATCTTTTCTTTTCATTGGCCAATCTGAGATATGGCTTTTTCTTTGCAACTCTGCCTAGAAAGTCAGCATCCCGGAGTCGCCTCTTCACTGTTGACGTTGAGACTGGTGTTTTGCGGGTACTATTTAATGAAGCTGCCAGTTGAGGACCTGTGAGGCGTCTGTTTCTCAAACTAGACACTCTAATGTATTTGTCCTCTTGCTCAGTTGTGCACAGGGGCCTCCCACTCCTCTTTCTATTCTGTTTGAGCCAGTTTGCGCTGTTCTGTGAAGGGAGTAGTACACAGCATTGTACGAGATCTTCAGTTTCTTGGCAATTTCTCGCATGGAAAAGCCTTCATTTCTCAGAACAAGAATAGACTGACAAGTTTCAGAAGAAAGTTATTTGTTTCTGGACATTTTGATTCTGTAATCGAACCCACAATTGCTAATGCTCCAGATATTCAACTAGTCTCAAGAAGGTCCGTTTTATTGCTTGTTTAATCAGCATAAAATACAATTGCTTTTCTTTCGAAAAAACAAGGAAATGTCTAAGTGACCCCAAACTTTTGAACTGTAGTGTAGCTCCAGGTAAATGTTGCAATTCTTCAGCCATTCCTGAACCTGTGACTAAAAACAAGCTACATTAGGGCAGTACCAAAACAAGTGATCTAATGATTCGGTCTTCAATTTTTATTAGTCATATACACATGATGTATGTGGAGTACAGAGTGCAACAAAATGCTTTCTTGCAGGTTCACCACAAGACAATGCAACAACAATAGAAAAGTAATTAAGTGAATATAATATCATGTATTTAAGTGCAAAATTGTATGCACCAATCCCCATTGGTTCTTGAAGAATATAACTTATTAATGCCTCATGAGCTTAGTTCAACTGTCATACCCCATCAGAACCCGAAATATAAGCATGTTCCATTGTAATTGTAAACAAACACTGTATAACCTCAAACATTGTTAAAACTATGGTCCCTCCTTATGAATTTGAGAGTGGTTACATTTCTCCCATCACTCAGCTGTTTACCAAAACTGTGGTGGGGTGTCCACTTTGTTGTTGTTTGAACTGCCGATTGTCCCTTCAAGATGACATACAACTCTGTTGATGTTGATGGCGTATGCTCCAGAAGGACTAAAAGGCCTAACTAAGTAAGCAGGCTGTAAGACTGAGCGCCTGATGCTGAGAGAAATGTTGGGAAGATTCTCATGGCAGGAATTTCAAGACACTCAAGATACAGCTTCAGATGTGCAGGTAAAATAAGTCAGTGTCTCAACAATAAATAGCCTATCAACAACGTGGTGCGAAGGGTTCATGTTCAATCTTCTTCAAGAGCATAAATCTGCTTTTGTCACAATTGTTGATAAAATAATTCCTAGAATTTTGTGGTTCATTAATAATGCATTACTTCTATAAAGAAACGTCCTCATATTGAAGGAGAAGCTTTAGTTGTAGATGGAGATGGTTCTCTTCTGTGCGTGTGTGTGTGTGTGCGCGTGCTGGGTGCGTGTGTGTGTGTGTGTGTGTGTGTGTGTGTGTGTGTGTGTGTGTGTGCGCGTGCGGAGGTGACATGAAGAAGCTGACTGCTCTGAGCCTCTCTTGGGCTCTTTTCAGCAGCAGCAGTAGCATCTGCTTAGCCTCTCTGTCTACTTGTGTCCCAAATGGCACTCTCTTCCCTTTATAGTGCACTACTTCTTCACCAAGGCCTATAGGGTTCTGGTCAAAAGAGGTGCACTATAATAGGGTGCCATTTGGGATGCATCCTCTAGGATAATAAGCCACACACCTCTGCTGACTCTTCTGTCAGACCTGGCCGAAGCCTGCCGTCTGTCTCTCATCTGAAGTTGAAACAAAGTCTCTTACTGATCGATGAATAAACCCTTTGAACTCAACCAAGCCTGTGTAGTGTAGTTAGTCACTGAGTAATACATTGAGGCACAATACTACAGTAGGCTCCGGTACTATAGATAATAATAATAATAATAATAGTTTATTTAATTTGTAAAGCACTTTTCTCACATACAAGGTGCTGATGTAATCAGAGCATGATGTATGAATGTCGGTATAAATGTGTGGTGTCAGGGTGGTTGGGATTTAACAGACAGCAAAAATACACATTTAGTTTTTTTTACAACACATTTTTTATTGAATAACAAACACAGAAAAGGCAGGCTGGTAGAACACACTTCTTATGTACATCAGATTAGTTACAGTTACATCTTTGAATTAGTCAACTTCCAAGAGACATTATTGTTTTTTATGAACAGTAACGATGTATTGTATAAATGGACTGACTTGAATGTCTTTGTGTCCTGTTTGGCAGGGTCCACCTACAGTGTTTTGTCCACCATGCCGTCTGACTCTGAAAGCAGCAGTTCCCTCAGCAGCATAGGTGAGTCTGGAATGGTTGATCTCTTTTGGCAGTAGTAGGGGGGCAAAATTCCCAGGTTTGCCAGAAACTCAAGTTGTAATATTCCTGGAATCAAGCAGGAATAAACAGGAAATCCGGAATCCTCTAACCAGGATTTCTGGAACAATCCTGTAGTTGTATGAATGTTTGAATATAAATGTGTTGTTCTTACGGCTTAGGAAGCTAGGTGAATGTGGTCCAGAGAACTGGCTAACCAGCCAGACAGCATGCTATTTCTGACTTTCAGTCAGCACAAACAAGTGATTACACAGATGTGAAAGGATTTACAAAGGCAACCCACCAACCCCCCGGAATGGTTTTCATTGAGCCATTCTCTCTCTGAGGGAGAGGGATATACCTGTGTCCCAAATGGCACCCTATTCTGTACATGGTACACTACTTTTGACCAGAGCCCTATGGGGCCTGGTCAAAAGTAGTGCACTATATAGGGAATGAGGTGTCATTTGGGTGGACGCCAGAGGGATTGCCCTGCAGAGCAGAGCCGAGCTACTGAAAGAGGGGTGCAGGACTCTGTTGTGGTGGTTGTTGTTTTCTTTAGTCAGGGGAATAATCAGTGGCCCAGAAAGAAAACATATAGCAGTGTTTTATTTATATCAACACTGCAACATAGGCCCATTGATTTAATGAATTGAGGCATGGCTGGAGTGTTGGACTGATTACACTCACAAAACAGGACAAGTCAATGGTTAAAGGGGTAATCTGGGATTGTTTCATCCATTTTTGGACTTTTAAATTGATGGTATATAGCCATTGGTTCTTAAAGACTTCAGCTCCTAACTGCCTCATGAGCTTAGTTAAAAAAACAGTGGCGCGGTGACCGCTTTGTTATTGTTTAAATCCCAGGTTGTCCCTTTAAACATAGTCATGAAGACCTCATGTGTCACATTTTGCTGCTTTGTTGATTATTGTTGTCACATTATTCATAATAACGATGTGCCAATTTACTTTGGATTGTTTGGCTTATGGATTTAATGAAGTATGACACAAGTGCTCTGTCTCAATTGGTGCCTCAAGACATGTGGAGATCTGAGAGGATTTGATAAATAAACAATATACACTGCTCAAAAAAATAAAACATCCTAGATCGGAATGAATGAAATAATCTTATTAAATACTTTTTTCTTTACATAGTTGAATGTGCTGACAACAAAATCACACAAGAATTATCAATGGAAATCAAATTTATCAACCCATGGAGGTCTGGATTTGGAGTCACTCTCAAAATTAAAGTGGAAAACCACACTACAGGCTGATCCAACTTTTATGTAATGTCCTTAAAACAAGTCAAAATGAGGCTCAGTAGTGTGTGTGGCCTCCACGTGCCTGTATGACCTCCCTACAACGCCTGGGCATGCTCCTGATGAGGTGGCGGATGGTCTCCTGAGGGATCTCCTCCCAGACCTGGACTAAAGCATCCGCCAACTCCTGGACAGTCTGTGGTGCAACGTGGCGTTGGTGTATGGAGCAAGACATGATGTCCCAGATGTGCTCAATTGGATTCAGGTCTGGGGAACGGGCGGGCCAGTCCATAGCATCAATGCCTTCCTCTTGCAGGAACTGCTGACACACTCCAGCCACATGAGGTCTAGCATGGTCTTGCATTAGGAGGAACCCAGGGCCAACCGCACCAGTATATGGTCTCACAAGGGGTCTGAGGATCTCATCTCGGTACCTAATGGCAGTCAGGCTACCTCTGGCGAGCACATGGAGGGCTGTGCGGCCCCCCAAAGAAATGCCACCCCACACCATGACTGACCCACCGCCAAACCGGTCATGCTGGAGGATGCTGCAGGCAGCAGAACGTTCTCCACGGCGTCTCCAGACTCTGTCACGTCTGTCACATGTGCTCAGTGTGAACCAGCTTTCATCTGTGAAGAGCACAGGGCGCCAGTGGCGAATTTGCCAATCTTGGTGTTCTCTGGCAAATGCCAAACGTCCTGCACGGTGTTGGGCTGTAAGCACAACCCCCACCTGTGGACGTCGGGCCCTCATACCACCCTCATGGAGTCTGTTTCTGACCATTTGAGCAGACACATGCACATTTGTGGCCTGCTGAAGTTCATTTTGCAGGGCTCTGGCAGTGCTCCTCCTGCTCCTCCTTGCACAAAGGCGGAGGTAGCAGTCCTGCTGCTGGGTTGTTGCCCTCCTACGGCCTCCTCCACGTCTCCTGATGTACTGGCCTGTCTCCTGGTAGCGCCTCCATGCTCTGGACACTACGCTGACAGACACAGCAAACCTTCTTGCCACAGCTCGCATTGATGTGCCATCCTGGATGAGCTGCACTACCTGAGCCACTTGTGTGGGTTGTAGACTCCGTCTCATGCTACCACTAGAGTGAAAGCACCGCCAGCATTCAAAAGTGACCAAAACATCAGCCAGGAAGCATAGGAACTGAGAAGTGGTCTGTGGTCACCACCTGCAAAACCAGTCCTTCATTGGGGGTGTCTTGCTAATTGCCTATAATTTCCACCTGTTGTCTATTCCATTTGCACAACAGCATGTGACATTTATTGTCAATCAGTGTTGCTTCCTAAGTGTTGTTTAAGTGTTCCCTTTATTTTTTTGAGCAGTGTAGTTATAGCTCCACCTAGGTGGATGTAAGTCTCACCACACTGCTTATACAAATCAAATCCTCAGATCTCCAGAAATGCATAGGGCAGGGAGTAGGGTTTCGGGTTTCGGGGTGGATTTGGGATGGGGCCGTAATGTCGGTGTAAGGGCCCTAGCCATCAGTGACAGTCTGACTGTGACAGGTACCACGGGTCAAGCCTCGTCCCCTCCTCCGGCCCACATGGAGAAACGCCACGGTCAAATGAGTGAGAAGATGGAGGCGGTTCTGTTCCAGCTGAGACAGGTGACCCGCGAGAGGGACGAGCTACGTAAACGCCTGGCCCTGTCCTCGCCCGGCACCACCTTCGATGACTGCAGGTACAGTAGCACTCACGGTAGAGACAGAACCGCTATAGATACTGCAGTTACAGTACTCTACACCAATGGTTCCCAAACTGTGGGCCGCCCCCTGGTGGGTTGGGGTCTACAAATTTGTTGGATGCATTTTCTGTTTGTTTTGGTTGTATTTCAGATTATAGAAATAGAAATTCATGGTAAATAATGTATTGTGATATTTTGGAGTCACTTTTATTGTAAATAAGAATATAATATGTTTCTAAACACTTCTACATTATTGTAGATGCTACCATGATAACGGATAGTCCTGAATTAATCGTGAATAATGATGAGTGAGAAAGTTACAGACTCACAAATATCAGACCCCCAAGACATGCTAACCTCTCACCATTACAATAATAGGGGAAGTTAGCATTTGGGGGGTATGATGTAGAAGTGTTTAGAAACATATTCTATTCTTATTTACAGTAAAAGTGACTCCAAAATATCACAATACATTATTTACCATTCATTTCTATTTAGCACAAAATAATCTGAAACACAACAAACAGAAAATGCCTCCAACAGTTTGTGTCATGAACTGTGCTTTTGCGCGCAGGATGTTCCCCAATGCTGGAAGGGTGAAGGTCTGAGTGAAGAAGTTTCGGAACCCTTGCCCTACGCTATATACAACCCTCACTATAGACAGAGTCTGGCCTTCACCTGGGACCACCTTCGATGGGGATGGTCACGCTTATTCCAATATAATAAGAGACAGAACAGCTATATCGACTGTAGGTACAGTATATAACCTGGCTATGTACTCGCCTGACATCACTTAGAACCGTTATATACAGATACTCAGCCAACAGATAACATGCTCACCAGGGATGGCCACCCTTTTATTCGTCCTAAGTGACTCTACCGCTAGAAGCAAAGTGAAGTCAAAGCAAAAAAAGGAGACGCAAAATGGGATCCACATTTTGTGAGCTCAGTAACTCTGTTAAAACATTAAACAAGAGTCTATGTATTTTGAATGAATCTACTCTTCCCCACCTCTCTCATAACAAACGGTCACACCATACTGTTCTGCACTTTAATCTGCTCCTGGGGTCTTGATTCTGATGCGTCACTCTTTTCTGTCATCTCTCGTGTGTGCCTGTGTGTGTGTGTGTGTGTGTGTGTGTGTGTGTGTGTGTGCGTGCGTCTATCCATTTGTGTGTGTGTGTGTGTGTGTGTGAACCAGGCCCAACTCCAAGTCAGGCCACGACTACGAGCGTCTGAAGCTGCAGTGTATGAAGGCCATGGCAGACCTGCAGTCCTTACAGAACCAACACAGCACAACACTGAAGAGATGTGAGGAGGCTGTGAAGAAAGCTGACTTCTACCAGTGAGTGGTACACACACACACACACACACACACACACACACACACACACACACACACACACACACACACACACACACACACACACACACACACACAGACAGACAGACAGACAGACAGACAGACCGACCAACACCCTTCTCTAATCTACCAGTGAGTGTTACACACATACACACACACACTTTTCTAATCTACCAGTGAGTGGAGTGCAGACCTGGGTTCAAATACTATTAGAAATATTTCAAATGCCTTGTGCATTCGCTTTAGCTTGCCTGGAGTGCCAGGTGGTTGGGGTTAGCTCGCAACAGGCGAGCTCATTCAAGCCCACCTAAAGTTTTTGACAGTATTTCACATAGTATTTAAATCCCGGTCTGTAGTGAAGTGCATGGGAGTGGTTGGAGTCCATAAATATTTTAGCGTTCTCCCAGCGCATTTATGTTGCATGCTCTGAATTACTCCTATTCTCACAATCAGGCGGTGTAATGGATGGATGGGCTTTTAACCTGTGTTTGTCCCTCTTATGAGATCTGTGCGGCAGATTGCACAGAACATTTTTTCCCGAGGGGTAAGAGGTCAACCAATCCTGTGTCCCATTCCAAATGCTCTTGCTCAGTTAAACCATTATCCCAGTACTTTGACACCAGGGATTTTAAAAATCAAAGTGAGCAGAGCCACTGCTTTTCTGTCAGAAAGATCAGATCATGATTGTTCTAGTCTGTGTCGTAAATGGCAACTTATTCCCTTTTTAGTGTACTACTTTTGACAAGGACCCATAGGGTGCCCTGTGTAGGGAATAGGGTACCATTTGGGATGCACACCTTGTCTCTTTTGTATGAAGGTTTAGGTAGACAATGAAATCAGCCTACACAACCACAGAAATAAAATCGATTTCTGTCCTTAATTTCACTCTCTAAAGCTTCTAAACACCATTATGATGTTTTGAATCCTGTCTAGTGCAGAATTAGATCCCTTTGTCTGGTATATTAATATTTAACATTGTTTTATGTACTTTATCATTTGCCATTTTATACAGTTTTGGCAGGCAATGTCAAGCAAAGTGTTCAAACCACCAGCACTAACTGGAGGTTGAACTGCAAGAATTGAGGATTCTGCACTTGCCTCTTCCATTGACAATCGTGAATGTGGGAATGGGTGCTATCCTCATTGAATGTCAATTTGCCTGACAGTTGTGATACCCGTTCATCATAATCCATTCCAACTCATGGCACAACAAGCTTAATACCAATATAGAATTATACTATAAAGTCTAAAAAATGTGAATTACCCACAATCCAAGTCACATGGCAAGATAGGAAATGCAAGATGATTAAAACCACAGGCTTCTAATGAGTTCAATCACCCAATGTTCTCTCTCTGGTTATCCTCATAAAATATACTTACATTTTGAGCAACATATTAAGTTGGATTCATTATACATTCTTTTGGTAAAATGAAATCAACAAATCATTGAACGACTTGCATTATTTTTATTTTGTAAGATATTTTTGACACTTTATTGAGACAGTTCTGAAATGACAGAGGAGATAGAGATAGGTGGTGGAAACAGATTGAAGGGTTGGAGCGGGGAATTTAACCCCGATCTTCGTGACATGTATCGAAGCTGGGTGCGTTAACGCTAGACCACGGGCTCTGCATTCATTTTTTATTAAGTATATGTTTATTTTATTTTTTTTGGTCAATTTCAATTCAGCCCAGAATAATTTCTTACAGTGTGGCTGTGAGGTTGAGGTTGAAATGTACCATTTTACAGCCCCTCCTGTTTCTAATCTGTCTAAATAAAGCATTGAAAAAAATATATATTCTCCAGAGGCCCTTATCATCTATTAATATTTAGGATATAAACCATTTGCATTTCTAAACCATTGAAAGGGAAAGGAAAGGGAGATACCTAGTCAGTTGTACAACTGAATGCATTCAACTGAAATGTGTCTTCCGCATTTAACCCAACCCCATATGAGAAAACACAGTTTTTGTGTTTTGATGCTACCTTTTACATGCACTGAACCCCCTGTTTTCACAACACTCTCTTAAAAACACCAATATTCAGATTGAATAACCACTTTGGGTGTTTCAGAGTACTTCATTTCTGTTTTAAAACACATTCTGTGTATTAAAAACACTTACATTGGGTTTACATTTAAACACCAGATCTCAGCATAGGTGTCACACCCTGGCTATGGGACTCTAGTTGTTGAGCCAGGGTGTGTTTGTTCTATGTGGTGTGTTTCTATGTTGGGGGTTCTAGTTCGTCTATTTCTATGTTTTGCCTGCGTGACTCCCAATCAGAGGCAACGAGTGTCAGCTGTTGGCTGGTTGTCTCTGATTGGGAGCCATATTTAAACTGTCTGTTTTCCCTTTGTGTTTGTGGGTTTTTGTTCCGTGATTGGTGTATGTAACCAGGGACGTCACGGTTTTGTTTTGTTGTTTTGATCGTGTGATCATTTATTAAATAAAGAATATGTTTGCCTTCAACGCTGCGCCTTGGTCCTCCTCCTTAGACGATCGTGACAGAAAAACCCACCAAAACTGGACCAAGCAGCGTGAAGAGGAGAGAGGAAGGACTTGGGATCGATGGAGTAGGGGTCTCGACTGGGCTAAGCCGAGTGAAGAGCAGAGAGGGTGGACTTGGGAACAGTGGAGGAAGAGTCTCGACTGGGTCAAGCCTAATGAAGAGCAGAATGGCTGGAGTTGGAGGCAGAAGAGCGAGAGTTGGGCGAAAACTATAGAGGCCTGGCCCACGGGGAGGAGAGACCCCCAGAATTTTTTTAGGGGGGGGCTCACGACGTCGGGGCAGCAGGAGGCCGCGATAGAGCGGTCCAGCGGGTTGGCAGAGGAGGCCGCCATGTTAAGGGGGCCACTGGTCACTAAGGGGAAGGAAAGTGTGGAGGCACGGCGAGAGGTACTGGGGTGTGTTACCAGTCCGGTCCGTTCCTGATCCCCGCGTAGGGCCAGGGGTGTGTGTCCCCAGTGCGGTCCGGTCTGTTCCTGTTCCTCGCATCGAGCCTGTGGTGCGCGTCGCCAGCCCGGTCCGGCCTGTTCCTGCTCCCCGCATCGAGCCTGTGGTACGCTTCGCCAGCCCGGTCCGGTCCGTTCCTGCTCCCCGCACCAAGTCAGTAGTGCTTTTCATCAGCCCGGTCCGGCCCGTTCCTGCTCCCCGCACCAAGTCAGTGGTGCGCTTCGTCAGTCCGGCACGGCCCGTGCCTGCTCCCCGCACCAAGCCTACGGTGTGCGTCGCCAGCCCGGCCCGGCCTGTTCCTGCCCCTCGCACCAAGTCTACGGTGCGAGTCGTCAGCCTGGTCCAGCCCGTTCCTGCCACTCGCACCAAGCCAGGGGTGCGAGTCGTCAGCCTGGTCCAGCCCGTTCCGGCCACTCGCACCAAGCCAGGGGTGCGAGTCGTCAGTCCAGTGAGGCCCGTTGCTGCTCCACGCACCAAGCCAGGGGTGCGTATCGTCAGCCAGGTCCGGTCCTTTCCTGCCTCACGCACCAAGCCAGGGGTGCGCGTCGTCTGTCCGGCACAACCCGTGCCTGGGTCACCGGTGCCTAACCAGGTACCGGTCAACGGCTCCACTACGGAGTTGAAGCTAACCGCTCCTGCTACGTCCAGTCCAGCTCTAGCCAGCGGGGCCAGACCGGACCAGGGGCGCTATGGGGGGTTTGTTGGAGGGTGGTGGGCAAGCCCGGAGCCAGAACCGCCGCCGAGGAGGTATGCCCACCCAGCCCTCCCCTGTTTTGCTCTTTTTGAGGCGCGGTCGCAGTCCGCGCCTTTAGGGGGGGGGTACTGTCACACCCTGGCTATGGGACTCTAGTTGTTGAGCCAGGGTGTGTTTGTTCTATGTGGTGTGTTTCTATGTTGGGGGTTCTAGTTCGTCTATTTCTATGTTTTGCCTGCGTGACTCCCAATCAGAGGCAACGAGTGTCAGCTGTTGGCTGGTTGTCTCTGATTGGGAGCCATATTTAAACTGTCTGTTTTCCCTTTGTGTTTGTGGGTTTTTGTTCCGTGGTTGGTGTATGTAACCAGGGACGTCACGGTTTCGTTTTGTTGTTTTGATCGTGTGATCATTTATTAAATAAAGAATATGTTTGCCTTCAACGCTGCGCCTTGGTCCTCCTCCTTAGACGATCGTGACAATAGGTGCACTACTTTTCATGGTTTCATTACACAATCATGGTGCTTTGAGACTTTATATTTTTACAGTGTAACACCAACACTGAGGAAAAGAAAGGCGTGAGGAGAGGGGGCAGGAGGTTCTCTCTGTCTGTCCATGTGTGTGATTTAATGATGCCTGCCATACTGTCTCCATAGTGTGGGGACCAACCAACCTAACAGCTGGGGCAGAATGCAAACAGACAGATGAAGGATTAGCCCCAATGTTTAAGCCTCTGTCTCTCTGCCTCTAGGTCCAGGCCATGTTTGTCTTCATCTATGGCTGCAGCAGAAAAAAGTTATTTATTTATTTATGTCTGCTACTGGAGTGGACTAAAAAGCAACTGTCCACAAAGCACTGGTAGTTTATTCCTTTAAAGCTTGAGAAAATGTTTCTTCACCGAACTGCTCACAAGTTTGAAGTTTCACAATTTTGAACACTGGATTGCTTAGCACACCAACATGCATTCAGAAAGTATTCAGACCCCTTGACTGTTTTTCACATTTTGTTACGTTACAGCCTTATTTTAAAATGGATTAAATAAACAAAAATGTCCTCATCACTCTACACACAATACCCCATAATTACAAAGCGAAAACAGTTTTTTTTTTTGTTGCTAATTTATTTAAAAATAAAAACAGAACTACCTTATTTACATAAGTATTCAGACCCTTTGCTATGAGACTCGAAATTGAGCTCAGGTGCGTTCTGTTTCCATTGATCATCCTAGAGATGTTTCTACAACTTTATTGGACTCCACCTGTGGTAAATTGAATTGATTGGACATGATTTGGAAAGGCACACACCTGACAGTGCATGTCAGAGCAAAAACCAAGCCGAGGTCAAAGGAATTGTCTGTAGAGCTCCGAGACAGGATTGTGTCGAGGCACAGATCTGGGGAAGGGTACGAAAAAATGTCTGCAGCATTGAAGGTCCCCAAGAACACAGTGGCCGCCATCATTCTTAAATGGAAGAAGTTTGGAACCACCAAGACTCTTCTTAGAGCTGGTTGCCCGGCCAAACTGAGCAATCGGGGGAGAAGGGCCTTGGTCAGGGAGGTGACCAAGAACCCGATGGTCACTCTAACAGAGCTCCAGAGTTCCTCTGTGGAGTTGGGAGAACCTTCCAGAAGGACAACCATCTCTGCAGCACTCCACCAATCAGGCCTTTATGGTAGAGTGGCCAGATGGAAGCCACTCCTCAGTAAAAGGCACATGACAGCCCGCTTGGAGTTTGCCAAAAGGCACCTAAAGGACTCTCAGACCATGAGAAACAAGATTCTCTGGTCTGATGAAACCAAGATTGAACTCTTTGGCTTGAATGCCAAGCGTCACGTCACCCTACGGTGAAGCATGGTGGTGGCAGCATCATGCTGTGGGAATGTTTTTCAGCGGCAGGGACTGGGAGACTAGTCAGGATCGAGGGAAAGATGAACTGAGCAAAGTACAGAGAGATCCTTGATGAAAACCTGCTCCAGAGCACTCAGGACCTCAGACTGGGGGTGAAGGTTCACCTTCCAACAGGACAACGACCCTAAGCACACAGCCAAGACACCGCAGGAGTGACTTCTGGACAAGTCTCTGAATATCCTTGAGTGGCCCAGCCAGAGCCCAGACTTGAACCCAATCGAACATCTCTGGAGAGACCTGAAAATAGCTGTGCAGCGACGCTCCCCATCCAACCTGACAGATTTCTATAAATCTGTTTTTGCTTTGTCATTATGGTGTATTGTCTGTAGATTAATTAGGGACAAAAATAATTTAATCCATTTTAGAATAAGGCTGTAACGTAACAAAATGTGGAAAAAGTCAAGGGGTCTGAATACTTTCCGAATGCACTGTAGTTTACTCTGTGTCCTCCTACCTGCTCATTGTAGTACATTAACTACAACACCCATTCAATAGAGAACACATGACAGGGTTGATGCACATTAATTCTAGTTGGTGTATCTTTTTTCTGTGTGCAGCACGCTCCACAGTCGTCTGGCCAGCGAGCAGTCTCAGCTGAAGGAGGAGCTGGATGCTGTGAGGCAGGTAAGGTATCTGTATTCCAAGTATACCTGTACTTAGTTGCGAAACACATTTCCCTATTTGGATGCTACCGTACTCTATTCGATTAAATTCAATCCAATTCTATTTAATTATATTATGCAGGACAACATCCAGCTGGTCAGAGAACACAACCATGTGAAACAGAGCTGTGAGGAGATGAGGAGACTACATGATGAGGACCAGAGAGAGCTGGGAGACATGAGGCTGCTTCACCAACAGGTACTGGAGTAGAATACACACTCAGCCTGACATGCTCAAGGTTTTTGGGTCAGGGTCCTCTCTTTTGGATCCAGGGGGTGGCAGGTAGCATAGATGTTATAAAAGCAGGCCAGCAACCAGAGTGTTGCCAGTTCGAATCCCTGGTCTGATGGGAAATTTGGCAAAACCTTTGCTGTCTATTCTGGCACTGACTGACGTTTCTTTTGACCTTTCTTTAAATAACTTTTTGGATTCTGACATATGAGACAGATTCTACATGTTCTGCCCATTTAGGACCATTAGCACGGTCCGACGAGCTCATTCCACCATGTCGTCATAGTGATCAGAAATGCCTTCAAATTAGACAAATCACCAAATTAATTATTAATTAATTATTATTAGTTAAATTAACCATTTAGTTTCTCTCATTGCTGCTCTGGTTGCACCTCAAGTGGCACCCTATTCCCTTTATAGTTAACTCTTTTGACCAGTGCCCATAGGAGCCTGTAGGGAATAGGGTGCATCCCAGGGTGCCATTTGGGATGCACCCTCTGTAGGATCTATTTTTAGCTCTCATTATAGTTTGAACCCTTGGTTCATATCATTAATTGTTTGTCAGTCATATCTAACATGTTCATGGGGAATGCTTTCTATGCCAGTCTGATCAGTAGGTGCCTAATTGGCTAGGTCCCAAATGACACCCTATTCCCTATATAGTGCACTACCTTTGACCAGGCCCATGTCTACCCAAAGCTGGGATTGCTGATGAGCTCATGTCATTACTAAGTAAACTAGCATCAAGCAGCATCCAAATTAACAATCAAATGAGCCTGATGATGTCAATTCAAATTAGGCTGCCGTTGTGAATTACGTCTGTTAAGGATTTTATGAGCGAGCCAATGCCATGCGGTAGACGTGCAGAAAACGCCTCGGTGTAGGTTTTGCCTGATACCCATGTTGAATATACATAATGCAATAATCATACAAATATGTTACAATTTTATCCAAAGCGCCTTATAGTTCAGTGAATGCATACATTTTTTTGTAGCCTACTGTATGTGACTGTTCTCACTGTGGGATGTTCATTATTATGACACATTACTTACATTACGTGTATTCATATTATTATCTTTTGAGTTGTTTTAAAGCCATCGCAGTAGAAGTGTAGCGGAGCCGGAGAGGCACATTGTAAATGTTCTGCGTGGTTTCTCTTCTCTCTGACTGAAGGAGTCTCTGCTTAGTGACTTAATTTAGCCCCAAGACCCTGACCTCTGCTAAATTACATTTTTTCTTGGCAGTAATTTAACAAACTGTTCCAATGTTGGATTATTTATTTAACTCGAAAAATGTTGCGCCTTTTCCTTTGAACTCTGAGCACTCAGAATGAAACAGAGTTTCGGTGTAACCTTTGTAAACATAGCCATGGGCTGTGTCCCAAATGGCTCCCTATACAGTGCACTACTTTTGAACAGGGCCCATAGTGCACTATATAGGGAAGAGGGTGCCATTGGCCCTGGTCAAAAGTAGTGCACTGTATAGGGAATAGGATGCCATTTGGGACGCAACCTTACTGACTGAAGCACCGTCTTGTTTTCTGGTTCTTAATCTATTTTTACACTATGGAGGAGATGAGGGCACTTTAGTCTGCGCTGCTTTATAAAGACAGAGTGGTTGTTGACTCAGTCATGTTCAGTCATTATCTGTAGCACTGCCATGTCATCAATGAGACGGCTGTAGAGAGAGTGCTATAGTGTTGTTGTGCTGTAAATAGACTATACTGGAATGTATTATATAGTGTAGATAGAGACAGCACTGTCTTCTACTGTTGTATTTCCCAGTGGTCACAGTGGTGGTTAAGTATACAGTGCTGTCTCTATCTCTAGACTGTAGATGTACTGTATATGTACTGTAGATGTACTGTAGATAGACTGTAGATGTACTGTAGATAGACTGTACCCTAGTGTATTGTACAGTGAGGGGAAAAAGTATTTGATCCCCTGCTGATTTTGTATGTTTGCCCACTGACAAAGACATGATCAGTCTATAACAGTGAGAGACAGAATAACAACAAAAAAATCCAGAAAAACGCATGTCAAAAATGTTATAAATTGATTTGCATTTTAATGAGGGAAATAAGTATTTGACCCCTCTGCAAAACATGACTTAGTACTAGGTGGCAAAACCCTTGTTGGCAATCACAGAGGTCAGACGTTTCTTGTAGTTGGCCACCAGGTTTGCACACATCTCAGGAGGGATTTTGTCCCACTCCTCTTTGCAGATCTTCTCCAAGTCATTAAGGTTTCGAGCCTGACGTTTTGCAACTCGAACCTTCAGCTCCCTCCACAGATTTTCTATGGGATTAAGGTCTGGAGACTGGCTAGGCCACTCCAGGACCTTAATGTGCTTCTTCTTGAGCCACTCCTTTGTTGCCTTGGCCGTGTGTTTTGGGTCATTGACATGCTGGAATACCCATCCACGACCCATTTTCAATGCCCTGGCTGAGGGAAGGAGGTTTTCACCCAAGATTTGACGGTACATGGCCCCATCCATTGTCCCTTTGATGCGGTGAAGTTGTCCTGTCCCCTTAGCAGAAAAACACCCCCAAAGCATAATGTTTCCACCTCCATGTTTGACGGTGGGGATGGTGTTCTTGGGGTCATAGGCATCATTCCTCCTCCTCCAAACACGTCGAGTTTAGTTGATGCCAAAGAGCTCGATTTTGGTCTCATCTGACCACAACACTTTCACCCAGTTCTCCTCTGAATCATTCAGATGTTCATTGGCAAACTTCAGATGGGCCTGTATATGTGCTTTCTTGAGCAGGGGGACCTTGCGGGCGCTGCAGGATTTCAGTCCTTCACGGCGTAGTGTGTTACCAATTGTTTTCTTGGTGACTATGGTCCCATCTGCCTTGAGATCATTGACAAGATCCTCCCGTGTAGTTCTGGGCTGATTCCTCACCGTTCTCATGATCATTGCAACTCCACGAGGTGAGATCTTGCATGGAGCCCCAGGCCGAGGGAGATTGACAGTTATTTTGTGTTTCTTCCATTTGCGAATAATCGCACCAACTGTTGTCACCTTCTCACCAAGCTGCTTGGCGATGGTCTTGTAGCCCATTCCAGCCTTGTGTAGGTCTACAATCTTGTCCCTGACATCCTTGGAGAGCTCTTTGGTCTTGGCCATGGTGGAGAGTTTGGAATCTGATTGATTGATTGCTTCTGTGGACAGGTGTCTTTTATACAGGTAACAAGCTGAGATTAGGAGCACTCCCTTTAAGAGTGTGCACCTAATCTCAGCTCGTTACCTGTATAAAAGACACCTGGCAGCCAGAAATCTTTCTGATTGAGAGGGGGTCAAATACTTATTTCCCTCATTAAAATGCAAATCAATTTATAACATTTCTGACATGCGTTTTTCTGGATTTTGTTGTTGTTATTCTGTCTCTCACTGTTCAAATAAACCCACCATTAAAATTATAGACTGATCATTTCTTTGTCAGTGGGCAAACGTACAAAATCAGCAGGGGATCAAAAACTTTTTTCCCTCACCGTATAGTGTTGTATCTGTAAATGTCTTGTAGTGTATATTGTGGAATATGGACAATAAAGTTGTATTGTATTGTGTATATAGTACCCAGTGGAGAGTTTACCCATCTTTTGTGGAAAAATGCATTGAAATTATAGGGAGCGTTACTTACTGTGAACAACGATCAGTGTTTATACTTAGAAATAAAATAGAATGATTAAAATGGGCTTGAAACTCTAACCCTGGCAATTTTTAAACTCATGGGTACGCTCGCAATGGCTGCCTGGTATTGTGATGCAATAATTTCCATGGTATTTTTGAATGTTCTATCATAGAATTAGGAATTAGAATAGGATCACTATGTGTTCTATCAACTGATGCTGCATCGCCATGATAATGTGGTTCATGCAAGGGGATGTAGCTCAGTTCGTAGAGCATGGCGTTTGCAACGCCAGGGTTGTGGGTTCGTTTCCCACGGGAGGTATAAAAAAATAAAGTAATGTATGCACTAACTGTAAGTCGCTGTGGATAAGAGCGTCTGCTAAATGACTAAAACGTTTTAGTCATTGACTCAACAAATCACAGCACAGACTGAAGGGTACACTTCTTGCTTTTACTTCCTGGCATGGGTACACTCAAAATGGCTGCCAGTCCACCCATTATGCCATCATTGACTTGAATGGAGATACACTTTCTATTCATTCTATTTCTGTGCATTTACACATCGATTGTTTTTTTTTACCACTACGTCACTGATAGTACTGTTGCTGTAGATAGTACAACACTACACTACAGTATAGTACAGTCTATTTCCCAGAGGTTACTGTAAGTAACACAACTCCCATGCACACTTGTCAATATTTTTAATCAGTCCACTTGCCTTTATTGACAGTACAGTTGATAGTAAATCAATATAGGGAAAAAGGACTTACATATGCCGGAGACTGGTCTAGTGGTAGTTCTGCTGACTCTGGACCACACATCAATTCAAGCAATTCTATCATGCCCTTCAACTATCCATACCCCTCTCTGTAACTGTCTTTCAACTACCCATCTCCCTCTCTGTAACTGTCTTTCAACTACCCATCTCCCTCTCTGTAACTGTCTTTCAACTACCCATCTCCCTCTCTGTAACTGTTCTTCAACTACCCATCTCCCTCTCTGTAACTGTCTTTCAACTACCCATCTCCATCTCCCTCTCTGTAACTGTCTTTCAACTACCCATCTCCATCTCCCTCTCTGTAACTGTCTGTCAACTACCCATCTCCCTCTCTGTAACTGTTCTTCAACTACCCATCTCCCTCTCTGTAACTGTCTTTCAACTACCCATCTCCCTCTCTGTAACTGTCTTTCAACTACCCATCTCCCTCTCTGTAACTGTTCTTCAACTACCCATCTCCCTCTCTGTAACTGTCTTTCAACTACCCATCTCCCTCTCTGTAACTGTTCTTCAACTACCCATCTCCCTCTCTGTAACTGTCTTTCAACTACCCATCTCCATCTCCCTCTCTGTAACTGTCTGTCAACTACCCATCTCCCTCTCTGTAACTGTCTTTCAACTACCCATCTCCGTCTCTGTAACTGTCTTTCAACTACCCATCTCCCTCTCTGTAACTGTCCTTCAACTACCCATCTCCCTCTTTGTAACTGTCTTTCAACTACCCATCTCCCTCTCTGTAACTCTTTCAACTACCCATCTCCCTCTCTGTAACTGTCTTTCAACTACCCATCTCCCTCTCTGTAACTGTCCTTCAACTACCCATCTCCCTCTCTGTAACTGTCTTTCAACTACCCATCTCCCTCTCTGTAACTGTCCTTCAACTACCCATCTCCCTCTCTGTAACTGTCCTTCAACTACCCATCTCCCTCTCTGTAACTGTCCTTCAACTACCCATCTCCCTCTCTGTAACTATCCTATCATAAAACAATACAAAATGTACCAAAACATTTACATTGTAGTCATTTAGCATAGACTGTTATCCAGAGCGACATACTGTACAGTCAGTGCATTCAACTAAGTTGAGTATTGAAATATGTAAATAAAATGAATGAGCTCTCTGTTCCAGGTGATGAGAGATGGGTCATCAGAGATCCTCAACAAGCTGTATGACACAGCTATGGACAAGCTAGAGGGTACCAAGAGAGACTACGAGGCTCTGAGGAAGAGGTACAACGACAAGACAACATATTTTAATTGTCAATGAATTATTATATTACTATATTGTACTAGTGACCCTGTGTTGATAAGCAAGTACATCAACTCCCCCAAGGGAGCTAGCCTTCTTGGACCTGTTGATAGGTTTGTAGATCACTTCGGACAAGCTCACTCTCCCTTCGTGTTTCATGATATTATTCTAGGTACAATGAGAAGACAGCCAACCACAACACAGACCTGAGCCGTCTGGAGCAGGCAGAGGAGGAGAACAGGAGGCTACAGAAACAGATGGATATGTTGTTGAAGCAGAGAGACACTGCTACACACTACCAACAACAGTACTCTACCTCTATGAGGAGGTAAGAGACACGCACGCACAAAGAGGTCAACTTTAATTGCCTGTCTCCATAATAGGGTTGGGAATTGCCAGGGACCTCACGATACAATATTATCATGATACTTAGGTGCCGATACAATATGTATTGTGTTTTGTTATTTTTTACCCTTTATTTTACCAGGTAAGTTGACTGAGAACACATTTTCATTTACAGTTACAGGGGAGATGAATGAACCTATTGGAAGCTGGGGATGATTAGGTGGCCATGATGGTATGAGGGCCAGATTGGGAATTTAGCCAGGACACCGGGGTTAACACCCCTACTCTTAAGACAAGTGCCATGGGATCTTTAGTGACCACAGAGTCAGGACACCCGTTTAAAGTCCCACCTGAAAGATGGCACCCTTCACAGGGCAATGTCCCCAATCACTGCCCTGGGACATTGGGATGTTTTATTTTAGACCATAGAAAGAGTGCCTTCTACTGGCCCTCCAACACCACTTCCAGCAGCATCTTGTCTCCCATCCAGGGACCAACCCTGCTTAGCTTCAGAGTCAAGCCAGCAGTGGGATGCAGGGTGACGTGCTGCAAGGTGGTGTGCTATTGTGATTTAATGTTCAAAACATATTGCTCACTATATGTCTTCTGCAGCGAGGCGAGAGAGTGCATGAGAAGATTAATTTTGATCAGTCATGGAAATAAAAGTGCTGAAAACATTTTGGCTCACTATTTAAAAAGACGATGGAGAACAAGCTATAGGATGAAACATACTGGAGTTTTGGCGCAGGTACAGCCTCCTAGCGGTAGCTAACGCTACCTAGCAAAAATAAATAAATCGATACTTGGAGTCAAAGTATCAATATAATATAGTCCAAAATAATTTCATGATATGTAACCATCTGTATTTTTCCCCCCCATCACTACTACATAAGTGTTCATAACTGTTCATAAATCACTCAGAAGTGCTTGAAGTAATTCAGTCCAGAGGAGATGAAGGCCTGTGATTGCAGATCTTTGCTACTTAGTTTAAGATTTTCCTTTGTGATGCCAACTGGACAAGCTTCATCATATGTTGCCTTTTTAAAATCAGATATTGCTGTATATTTAACAAGTTATTTTTACTGTGAGCTATTTTCTGTCTTCTCATTCACATAAAAGGGCTGCGTTTGTTTGTATCATACCTCATCCCCTTATCTCTCTCCTGTCCTGTCATTTCAACTATCTTCTTCTAGGTTCCACTCTAATAAAAGGGCTAGTGTTTGTATTATACTATACTTGGTTCCCTAAACACAACCTCTTTCACCCCTGTCCTGTTACTGTGTCAGGTTTGACTCCACCTCTCTCCCCCTGTCAAATCAAATCAAATCACATTTTATTTGCTACATGTGCTGAATACAAAAGGTGTAGACATACAGTGAAATGATACTTACTTACAAGCCCTTAACCAACAATGCATTATTTAAAGTTTTTAAAAAAAAATTAAGTGTTAAGGAAAAATAAATAAAAGCAAATAACTAAAGAGCAGCAGTAAAATAAAATAACAGTAGGGAGGCTATATACAGGGGGCTACCGGTGCAGAGTCAATGTGCGGGGTCACCGGCTAGTCGAGGTAATTGAGGTAATATGTACTTGTGGGTAGAGTTAAAGTGACTATGCATAAATAATAGACAGAGAAGCAGCAGCGTAAAAGAGGGGGGTGGGGGGGGCAGTGCAAATAGTCTGGGTAGCAATGATTAGCTGTTCAGGAGTCTTATGGCTTGGGGGTAGAAGCTGTTGAGAAGCCTTTTGGACCTAGACTTGGCGCTCCGGTACCGCTTGCCGTGCGGTAGCAGAGAGAACAGTCTATAACTAGGGTGGCTGGAGTCTTTGACAATTTTGAGGGCCTTCCTCTGACACCGCCTGATATAGAGGTCCTGGATGGCAGGAAGCTTGGCCCCAGTGATGTACTGGGATGTACGCACTACCCTCTGTAGTGCCTTGCGGTCGGAGGCCGAGCAGTTGCCATACCAGGCGGTGATGCAAGCAGTCAGGATGCTCTCGATGGTGCAGCTGTAGAACTTTTTGAGGATCTGAGGACCCATTCCAAATCTTTTCAGTCTCCTGAGGGGGAATAGGCTTTGTCGTGCCCTCTTCACAACTGTCTTGGTGTGTTCGGACCATGATAGTTTGTTGGTGATATGGACACCAAGGAACTTGAAGCTCGCAACCTGTTCCACTACAGCCCCGTCGATGAGAATGGGGGCGTGCTCAGTCCTCTTTTTTTTCCTGTAGTCCACAATCATCTCCTTTGTCCTGATCACGTTGAGGGAGAGGTTGTTATCCTGGCACCACACGGCCAGGTCTCGGACCTCCTCCCTATAGGCTGTCTCATCGTTGTCGGTGATCAGGCCTGCCACTGTTGTGTCGTCATCAAACTTAATGATGGTGTTGGAGTCGTGCCTGGCCATGCAGTCATGGGTGAACAGGGAGTACAGGAGGGGACTGAGCACGCACCCCTGAGGGGCCCCGTGTTGAGGATCAGCGTGGCAGATGTGTTGTTACCTACCCTTACCACCTGGGGGCGGCCCGTCAGGAAGTCCAGGATCCAGTTGCAGAGGGAGGTGTTTAGTCCCAGGATCCTTCGCTTAGTGATGAGCTTTGAGGGCACTATGGTGTTGAACGCTGAGCTGTAGTCAATGAACAGCATTCTCACGTAGGTGTTCCTCTTGTCCAGGTGGGAAAGGGCAGTGTGGAGTGCAATAGAGATTGCATCATCTGTGGATCTGTTGGGGCGGCATGCAAATTGGAGTGGGTCTAGGGTTTCTGGGATAATGGTGTTGATGTGAGCCATGACCAGCCTATCAAAGCACTTCATGGCTACAGACGTGAGTGCTACGGATCAGTAGTTATTTAGGCAGGTTATCTTAGTGTCCTTGGGCACAGGGACTATGGTGGTCTGCTTGAAACATGTTGGTATTACAGACTCAGTCAGGGACATGTTGAAAATGTCAGTGAAGACACTTGCCAGTTGGTCAGCACATGCTCAGAGTACACGTCCTGGTAATCCGCCTGGCCCTGCGGCCTTGTGAATGTTGACCTGTTTAAAAGTCTTACTCACATCGGCTACGGAGAGCGTGATCACATAGTCATCCGGAACAGCTGGTGCTCTCATGCATGCTTCAGTGTTGCTTACCTCGAAGCGAGCATAGAAGTGATTTAGCTCGTCTGGTAGGCTTGTGTCACTGGGCAGCTTGTGGCTGTGCTTCCTTTTGTAGTCTGTAATAGTTTTCAAGCCCTGCCACTTCAATATTAGTCCGGTATTGACTCTTTGCCTGTTTGATGGTTCGTCAGAGGGCATAGCGGGATATCTTATAAGCGTCCGGGTTAGAGTCCCGCTCCTTGAAAGTGGCAGCTCTACCCTTTAGCTCAGTACGGATGTTGCCTGTAATCCATGGCTTTTGGTTGGGGTATGTACGTACGGTCACTGTGGGGACGACGTCATCAATGCACTTATTGATGAAGCCAGTGACTTATGTGGTGTACTCCTCAATGCTATCTGAAGAATCCCTGAACATATTCCAGTCCGTGCTAGCAAAACAGTCCTGTAGCTTAGCATCTGCATCATCTGACCACTTTTTTATTAAACGAGTCACTGGTGCATCCTGCTTTAGTTTTTGCTTATAAGCAGGAAACAGGAGGATAGAGTTATGGTCAGATTTGCCAAATGGAGGGTGAGGGAGAGCTTTTTATGCGTCTCTGTGTGTGGAGTAAAGGTGGTCTAGAGTTTTTTTCCTCTGGTTACACATTTAACATGCTGGTAGAAATGAGGTAGAACGGATTTAAGTTTCCCTGCATTAAAGTCACTAGGAGCGCCGCCTCTGGATGAGCGTTTTCCTGTTTACTTATGGCCTTATACAGCTCATTGAGTGCAATCTTAATGCCAGCATCGGTTTGTGGTGGTAGATAGACAGCTACAAAAAATATAGATGAAAAGTCTCTTGGTAAATAGTGTGGTCTACAGCTTATCATGAGATACTCTACCTCAGCCGAGCAAAACCTAGAGACTTCCTTAGTATTAGATTTTGTGCACCAGCTGTTGTTTACAAATATACACAGACCGCCACCCCTGTCTTACCGGAGTCAGCCGTTCTATCCTGCCGATGTAGCGTATATCCTGTCAGCTGTATGTTGTCCATGTCGTCGTTCAGCCACGACTCTGTGAAACATAAGATATTACAGATTTTAATGTCCCGTTGGTAGGATAACCGTAATCTTAGGTCGTCCAATTTGTTCTCAAATGATTGAACATTGGCTAATTGGATTGATGGAAGAGGCAGTTTACTCGCTCGCCGTCGGATCCTTACAAGGCACCCCGACCTACATCCACGGTATCTCTGTCTCTTACTCATGCGAATGACGGGGATTTTGGCCTTGTCGGGTGTCTGTAGGATATCCTTCGCGTCCGGCTCGTTGAATAAAATATCTTCGTCCAATACGAGGTGAGTAATCACTGTCTTGATATCCAGAAGCTCTTTTTGGTCATAAGAGACGGTGGCAGAAACATTATGTACAGAATAAATTACAAATAATGCGAAAAAACACACATAATAGTACAATTGGTTAGAGGGCTGTAAAACGGCAGCCATCTTCTCCGGCGCCACTTCTTCTCCTGTTAATGTGTCAGATTTGACCCCACCTCTCTCCCCCATGTCCTGTTACTGTGTCAAGTTTGACTCCACCTCTCTCCCCCCTGTCCTGTTACTGTGCCAGGTTTGACCCCACCTCTCTCCCCCATGTCCTGTTACTGTGTCAGGTTTGACTCCACCTCTCTCCCCCCTGTCCTGTTACTGTGTCAGGTTTGACTCCACCTCTCTCCCCCCTGTCCTGTTACTGTGTCAGGTTTGACTCCACCTCTCTCCCCCCTGTCCTGTTACTGTGCCAGGTTTGACTCCACCTCTCTCCCCCCTGTCCTGTTACTGTGTCAGGTTTGACTCCACCTCTCTCCCCCCTGTCCTGTTACTGTGTCAGGTTTGACTCCACCTCTCTCCCCCCCGTCCTGTTACTGTGTCAGGTTTGACTCCACCTCTCTCCCCCCTGTCCTGTTACTGTGTCAGGTTTGACTCCACCTCTCTCCCCCCTGTCCTGTTACTGTGCCAGGTTTGACTCCACCTCTCTCCCCCCTGTCCTGTTACTGTGTCAGGTTTGACTCCACCTCTCTCCCCCATGTCCTGTTACTGTGTCAGGTTTGACTCCACCTCTCTCCCCCCTGTCCTGTTACTGTGTCAGATTTGACTCCACCTCTCTCCCCCCTGTCCTGTTACTGTGTCAGGTTTGACTCGACCCAGGCGGAGCTGTCGAAGGTTGCAGCGCAGAACAAGGAGCTACAGAGGGAGATGGAACGGCTGCAGACAGAAACCACACGGCTGAAGACCCAGCAGCTGAAGGCTGTTAAGGACTGTGAGAAGTACAAGGAGGAGAGGGACTCGGTCTTCAACGAGTACAGACTCATCATGAGCGAGAGGGACCAGGTCAGAGAGTGATATTTTTTCTTTGCTTTACTAGGTTTATTGGATAGGGACAATGCATATTTCTATACATTTGCCAGATTTTGCCAGCAGGCTTCTTTCCGTCTATATAAATAATACATAAAGTATAATAGTAATACTGTAATACAACTGTAATAAAGTAAAGTTTACTGTATGTATTTGTGTGGAGCAGGTGATCAAGGAGGTGGACAAGCTCCAGACAGGGCTGGAGGTGGCTGAGGCCAAACTGAAGAACACCTCGTCAGAGAAAAGGATGACCAGCGAAGAGTTGGAGGCACTACGCCAGGTAAGGCAATGCCTCAATCTGTACCTCAATCTATATGTAGCGCTAAGGGTGGTACACGCTCAGAAATAAGGGTACGGTTAGGGTACAGTATTATTCCCTGGGGTACCAAAAGATCAATATCCACATCATGTACCTTCAGAGGTACACATATGATCTCACATGGTATTGTTCGGTACCTTTTAGGGTACATGTGCAGATAATCTAGTATAATGGTAGATTTTTGTACCCAATATTTTTTATATAAAGGTACAATCATCACAACATTATATTATTATATTATTATTATTATTATTAGGTATTTTCAACATACGGTGAAGGTACATTTCTGTTTCCCAGGATACAAACGTATTTTGTGTACCCTCAATTCTTGATGGTACTGATCTGTACCTTTGCTTAGCAAAAAAGCAATGTGTTGAAGAAAGGTACATACAGTGGGGAAAAAAAGTATTTAGTCAGCCACCAATTGTGCAAGTTCTCCCACTTAAAAAGATGAGAGAGGCCTGTAATTTTCATCATAGGTACACGTCAACTATGACAGACAAAATGAGGAAAAAAAATCCAGAAAATCACATTGTAGGATTTTTAATGAATTTATTTGCAAATTATGGTGGAAAATAAGTATTTGGTCAATAACAAAAGTTTCTCAATACTTTTGTTATATACCCTTTGTTGGCAATGACACAGGTCAAACGTTTTCTGTAAGTCTTCACAAGGTTTTCACACACTGTTGCTGGTATTTTGGCCCATTCCTCCATGCATATCTCCTCTAGAGCAGTGATGTTTTGGGGCTGTCGCTGGGCAACACGGACTTTCAACTCCCTCCAAAGATTTTCTATGGGGTTGAGATCTGGAGACTGGCTAGGCCACTCCAGGACCTTGAAATGCTTCTTACGAAGCCACTCCTTCGTTGCCCGGGCGGTGTGTTTGGGATCATTGTCATAATGAAAGACCCAGCCACGTTTCATCTTCAATGCCCTTGCTGATGGAAGGAGGTTTTCACTCAAAATCTCACGATACATGGCCCCATTCATTCTTTCCTTTACACGGATCAGTCGTCCTGGTCCCTTTGCAGAAAAACAGCCCCAAAGCATGATGTTTCCACCCCCATGCTTCACAGTAGGTTTGGTGTTCTTTGGATGCAACTCAGCATTCTTTGTCCTCCAAACACGACGAGTTGAGTTTTTACCAAAAAGTTATATTTTGGTTTCATCTGACCATATGACATTCTCCCAATCCTCTTCTGGATCATCCAAATGCACTCTAGCAAACTTCAGACGGGCCTGGACATGTACTGGCTTAAGCAGGGGGACACGTCTGGCACTGCAGGATTTGAGTCCCTGGCGGCGTAGTGTGTTACTGATGGTAGGCTTTGTTACTTTGGTCCCAGCTCTCTGCAGGTCATTCACTAGGTCCCCCCGTGTGGTTCTGGGATTTCTGCTCACCGTTCTTGTGATCATTTTGACCCCACGGGGTGAGATCTTGCGTGGAGCCCCAGATCGAGGGAGATTATCAGTGGTCTTGTATGTCTTCCATTTCCTAATAATTGCTCCCACAGTTGATTTCTTCAAACCAAGCTGCTTACCTATTGCAGATTCAGTCTTCCCAGCCTGCTGCAGGTCTACAATTTTGTTTCTGGTGTCCTTTGACAGCTCTTTGGTCTTGGCCATAGTGGAGTTTGGAGTGTGACTGTTTGAGGTTGTGGACAGGTGTCTTTTAAACTGATAACAAGTTCAAACAGGTGTCATTAATACAGGTAACGAGTGGAGGACAGAGGAGCCTCTTAAAGAAGAAGTTACAGGTCTGTGAGAGCCAGAAATCTTGCTTGTTTGTAGGTGACCAAATACTTATTTTCCACCATAATCTGCAAATAAATTCATTAAAAATCCTACAATGTGATTTTCTGGAATTTTTTTCCTCAATTTGTCTGTCATAGTTGACGTGTACCTATGATGAAAATTACAGGCCTCTCTCATCTTTTTAAGTGGGAGAACTTGCACAATTGGTGGCTGACTAAATACTTTTTTTCCCCACTGTATTTGTACCCACTATAAGGTACAATGATGGATTTTTGCCACTTAAAAGGAATTAACGGCTTTGTCACTGTGGTGGTACCCTAAAAAGGCAAATTTGTATCATAATCATTATCATGTTTCCCAGCATGCTCTACTGCAGGTAGATTTTTAAGAATTGTTTTAATATCTGTGTTTTTGCATTTACATTGATTGACTGATTAATCTTATGCTACACAAAGATAAATAACATACATTTTTCTAAACTAATCCAATCATTTAGTTAGATTTATTGCACCCGTTACTGAAATGGTTGTTCCAGTTTAAATGGTTTAGGTAGTCTCCTTTATCAATGCTGTGGGTGAATAAAAATTCCAACTGTTGGCTATCTTAACTCTGGCTTGATTCCAATAGGAATTACACATCACTTTGCAAGCCAGCATAATGTGACTTACAGGCCTGATGTGGCCTGTAAACCAGGAATTTCAGGCCACTGTATTAGGGTAAAACTAGGTTTTAAAATAAGGCCTTATGAGATATGTATGTATCAGTGGAGGCTGGTGGGAGGAGCTATAGGAGGACAGGCTCATTGTAATGGCATGAATGGAACGGTATCAAACATATGGAAACCACATGTTCGACTCCATTCCATTAATTCCATTCCAGCCATTACAATGAGCCCGTCCTCCTATGGCTCCTCCCACCAGCCTCCACTGATATGTATATATTGTCATAAATTATAACATTCGCCTAGAAACTCACTTGGTGAATGCCACAGGATTGAAAATGAGGCCCAGAAGAGGAGGGAAGGGAATGGAGGGAATCTGATTTCATTGGTGCTCAACTCGTGGTTCAGACACTTCATTCAGGATAAATGGAGTTAGCCCTGAGTTAGCCTGCCCCGGAGAAGGTTAGTTTTGAAGCATTCGTTGCCATAGAAATGTACCTGGCTAAAAGATGAGCCACTTCTGTGCTACCGGTTATCCCAAGTTGAACTCAGAGTTGACCAAAGTTACCTCACTAACTCCTCAAACCAGGTACGTAGTATACCCCTCTGCTCTCAACCCAATTTAACACTTATATGGGAGATTCTGGAGTGGTGCCTGAGACAGCATTTTCCACCACCATCAACAAAACACCAAATTAAATGATAGAATTTATCGTGGAAGAATGAAAGAGCCTCCCGTGTAGCTCAGTTGGTAGAGCATGGCGCTTGCAACGCCAGGGTTGTGGGTTCGATTCCCACGGGGGGCCAGTATGAAAAATGTATGCACTCACTAACTAAGTCGCTCTGGATAAGAGCGTCTGCTAAATGATGTAAATGTAAATGTGTCGCATCCCTCCAATAGAGTTCCAGACACTTGTAGAATCTATACCTAGGTGCATTGAAGCTGTTCTGGATCATGGTGGCCCAATGTGTCACGCCCTGGCTCTGGGGACTCTTGTATGTTGAGCCAGGGTGTTAGTTTCTTTGTGTAGTGTCTATGTTTCGTTTTCTATGTTCTGTTCTAGGTTGTGTTTCTATGTTGGCCGGGGTGGTTCTCAATCAGAGGCAACGAGAATCAGCTGTTGTTTGTTGTCTCTGATTGGGAACCATACTTAGGCAGCCTTTTGTGCACTTGTTATTCGTGGGATCTTGTTCCGTGAAGGTTTGTGTATGACCGAGGACTTCACGTATCGTTTTGTTGTTTTTGTTGTATTTGAAAAGTACCTATTAAAGATGTACACATATCACGCTGCGCCTTGGTCCAATCATTATGACGATCGTGACAGAAGATCCCACCAAAACAGGACCAAGCAGCGTGTCCAGGAGCCGACAGCCTGGACTTGGGAGGAGATCTTGGACGGGCAGGGGTCCTGGACTTGGGAGGAAATCCAGGCCGGAATGGATCGCCGTCCGTGGGAGGAGACGGTGGAGGCGCGCCATAGAGAGGAGCAGCGGCGCCAACCGGGCCGACGTCGGACACGCAAGAGGCAACCCCAATAAATTTTTTTGGGGGGGCACACGGCATGGACGACGGGGCTGCTGGAGGCAGCTACTGGGCAAGTTTGTGGATTAGGAGGCCACCGGGTTTGGGGGGCTGGAAGGGAGGTTGGCAGAGCCTAGAGGTAGAGCAGAGCCAACTCCCCATACTCAGGCTAGGCAGCGAGAGACTGGGCAGGTTCCGAGGTATGCGGAGCTGCGTACTGTGCCGCGAGTGGTCCGGCACAGTCCGGTACGTCCTGTGCGAGCACCACGCACGTGTCGTGCTAAGGTGGGCATGCAGCCAGGACGGAGTGTGCCGGCTCAACGCTCGTGGCCTCCAGTACCCCTCCTCGGTCCCGGATATCCTGCGCCAGTGTCACGTGCTGTAGTGCCAGTACGAGTACACAGCCCTGTACGTCCTGTGCTGATGCCTCACACAGAGTGTGTAAAAATAGGCATTCAGCCAGGACGGGTTGTGTCAGCTCTTCGCTCCAGACCTCCAGTCCGTCTCCACAGCCCGGTCCGGCCTGTTCCTGCTCCCCGCACCAAGCCTGTGATGCGCGTCGCCAGCCCGGCCCGGCCTGTTCCTGCCCCTCGCACCAAGCCTGTGGTGCGCGTCGCCAGCCCGGGCCGGCCTGTTCCTGCCCCTCGCACCAAGCCTATGGTGCGCGTCGCCAGCCCGGCCCGGCCTATTCCTGCCCCTCGCACCAAGCCAATGGTCAGGTACCGGTCAGCTGCTCCACACCGGAGCCTAAGCAATCCGCTACACCGATGTCCAGTACGGCTCCAGCAAGCGGGACTAGACCAGGGGCGCTACGGGGGGGTTGTTAGAGGGTGGTGGTCACGCCCAGAGCCGGATCCGCCTCCGAGGTGGAATGCCCACCCGGCCCCTCCCCTGTCGGGTTTATGTTGGCGCTTGTCGCAGTCCGCGCCTTTGGGGGGGGGGGGGGGGTACTGTCACGCCCTGGCTCTGGGGACTCTTGTATGTTGAGCCAGGGTGTTAGTTTCTTTGTGTAGTGTCTATGTTTCGTTTTCTATGTTCTGTTCTAGGTTGTGTTTCTATGTTGGCCGGGGTGGTTCTCAATCAGAGGCAACAAGAATCAGCTGTTGCTTGTTGTCTCTGATTGGGAACCATACTTAGGCAGCATTTTGTGCACTTGTTATTTGTGGGATCTTGTTCCGTGTAGGTTTGTGTATGACCGAGGACTTCACGTATCGTTTTGTTTTTGTTGTATTTGAAAAGTACCTATTAAAGATGTACGCATATCACGCTGCGCCTTGGTCCAATCATTATGACGATCGTGACACAATGCCCTATTAAGACACTTTATGTTGGTGTTTCCTTTATTTTGGCATTTACCTGTACCTTACAGGGTACCACTACAGTGACAAGCAATTGTTCCCTTTAAGAACAAATCTAAACTTAATTTTGTTTGTTTAAGGCCAGGTAAGGCCATGGCTCTATATGCACAGTATTCATGGCTGAAATTTCCTCTCAGTTGAACTTATGTGTGCAGATTCAGAGTCATGGTGTTCATTTCTGATTAAAAAAAATGTGAGTAACACATCGATAAGAGAGAATCAATTAGCTGCCATTCAATAGTATGAAACACCTGAATGTATAAGCTAGTTTGCAAGCCTTCCAAGTCTTCTTGCACGTCTTCAACCTATTATAAAAGGCCATGGCATGATAGAAACACCACCAACAAGCTGACAAATGACCAGAACACCAAGGAACCTCATGATATGGCTCTTTTTCTTTCTTGTTTTTTCCACTGCAGTTGCCCTTTAAGTTCGTGAACTAATTGCTGTCTTCTTTGTGCTGAAGGAGCTTGGTTCGGCGCTGATCGACCGAGACAGAGCTATCTGTGAGAAGAATGAGCTGTTGGAGAAGTGCTGCCACGAGGTGAAGGACAAGGCTGAGGCCCAGAAGGAGCTGAGCCAGGCCTGTAAAGACATCCAGACGATCCGGGAGGAGAGAGACGTGGCCCGCAAGGAGAGGACAGAGGCTATCATACAGAGAGACCAGCTACTGAGAGAATACTACCAGACTAGACAGGTAACACACACATCTGAGATCAGTACGACACACACACCTTAAACACACCTGTATAGAGAGAACAGAGGCTATCATCCAGCAAGAACTAACACTAACACTTTTTCCTACTAGCACTGACTTTGCTGATAGCTGCTTTATTGAGGAACAATTTTACTTACTATGACTGAGAAATGTTGTTGTCTCACCTAGCTACCTTAAGATGGGGCGGCAGGTAGCTTAGTGGGTAAGAGCGTTGTGCCAGTAACCGAAAGGTCGCTGGTTCTAATCCCTGAGCCGACTAGGTGAAAAATCTGTCTGTGCCCTTAAGCAAGGCACTTAACCCTAATTGCTCCTGTAAGTCGCTCTGGATAAGAGCGTCTGCTAAATGACCAAACAAATAATAATAATAATAATAATAATAAAAAAAATAAAGATGGATGTACTAACTGTAAGTCGCCCTGGATAAGAGCATCTGCTAACTGACTAAAATATTAATGTTATGTAAATGTAAATGCAAGACCAGCACCTGAAATAGGCAGGCCATACAGGCTAGACAGGATTAATTGATTGAATACTTCATTGTCCTGCAACATACAGGCACTCCTGACAAACACGTAATACACCAAATCAAAAACACAAGACATATAACTTCACTTATGTACAACACATCACAGGACCGTTCAGATAGACATATAGGTGTATACCAGGGTTCCCCAACTGGCAGCCCACGGGTCGAATTTGGCCCTGAGCAACAACAAAAAAAAGATTACATTTTTTGTTGTTGGCCATAAGACTGTAAAAACACCAGGAAATCATCTCCAAGTGATTTTAATTTTGGAAATATGTTCTAAATATTCCCATGCATAATAGAGAGACGTGAATGTATACAAATGTAAGCAAGGTTTGAAATCATTATGCTTTAGTCAAATATTATAACTGTTTGGGCTTCTTACGGTCAACTTGCAGTCTACAAATAATTTGCAATTATGTTCCAGCCGCCCGACCATCCGCTCCAGAAAAAAATCATCCCGCGGCTGAATCTAGTTGATGATCCCTGCTGTATACTGTAGTTGTTGGTTTATAGTTTATAGTCCGTCTGTGTTGAGGTGAAGATAAAGACTAAAGCATTCATCTTATTCTTACCATTATCACAAATCACTTCATCCCATACTGTCCTCTCTGAATCCCCTCTGCAGACACTGCTGAAACTCTTCTCCAAGGCTCTTACAACACATTTGTCCCAGCATCATTTAATTTTGTGTCAAGCTTTCTCTCTCTGATAGTCTTGTAGAATTTACGACAGAGGTAGAAGTCAGAAGATCCCTGCATTAGGAAATTACCAGCAATTGAAGTGGAAAGCATTTATCTGACTTTGACACATAGTGGGTATAAAAGTGCTGCCTGCCGCTATACAAAGCACTTCATTACTGCCCAACAACCACAGTAAACACAGGAAATGGAACGGGATTGATTTACTCTGGACCATAATTCAATGCCCCAATGCTTCACTTCTACTATTGCTCAGCATCACATCCCCAGTATCAGTGTTACGCTTTGAAGCATGCAGGGAGAGGCTTAAACATAGTCTGTGTCCCAAATGGCACCCTATTCCCTATATAGTGTACTACTTTTGACCCGGGACCATAGGGCTGTGGTCAAAAGTAGTTAACTACAGTTGAAGTCGGAAGTTTACATACACTTAGGTTGGAGTCATTAAAACTAGTTTTTCAACCACTCCACAAATTTCTTGTTAACAAACTATAGTTTTGTCAAGTCGGTTAGGACATCTACTTTGTGCATGACACAAGTAATTTTTCCAACAATTGTTTACAGACAGATTATTTCACTTATAATTCACTGTATCACAATTCAAGTGGGTCAGAAGTTTACATACACTATGTTGACGGTGCCTTTAAACAGCTTGGGAAATTCCAGAAAATGATGTCATGGCGTTAGAAACTTCTGATAGGCTAATTGACATAATTTGAGTCAACTGGAGGTGTACCTGTGGATGTATTTCAAGACCTACCTTCAAACTCAGTGCCTCTTAGCTTGACATCATGGGAAAATCAAAAGAAATCAGCCAAGACCTCAGAAAAGAAATTGTAGACTTCCACAAGTCTAGTTCATCCTTGGGAGCAATTTCCAAACGCCTTAAGGTACCACGTTCATCTGTACAAACAATAGTACGCAAGTATAAACACCATGGGACCACGCAGCCGTCATACCGCTCAGGAAGGAGACACGTTCTGTCTCCTAGAGATGAACGTACTTTGGTGCGAAACATGCAAATCAATCCCAGAACAACAGCAAAGGACCTTGTGAAGATGCTGGAGGAAACAGGTACAAAAGTATCTATATCCACAGTAAAACGAGTCATATATCGACATAACCTGAAAGGCCGCTCAGCAAGGAAGAAGCCACTGCTCCAAAACCGCCATAAAAAAGCCAGACTACGGTTTGCAACTGCACATGGGGACAAAGATCGTACTTTTGGGAGAAATGTCCTCTGGTCTGATGAAACAAAAATAGAACTGTTTGGCCATAATGACCATCGTTATGTTTGGAGGAAAAAGGGGGTTACTTGCAAGCCGAAGAACACCACACCAACCGTGAAGCACGGGGGTGGCAGCATCATGCTGTGGGGGTGCTTTGCTGCAGGAGGGACTGGTGCACTTCACAAAATAGATGGCATCATGAGGAAGGAAAATGATGTGGATATATTGAAGCAACATCTCAAGACATCAGTCAGGAAGTTAAAGCTTGGTCGCAAATGGGTCTTCCAAATGGACAATGACCACAAGCATACTTCCAAAGTTGTGGCAAAATGGCTTAAGGGCAACAAAGTCAAGGTATTGGAGTGGCCATCACAAAGCCCTGACCTCAATCCTATAGAACATTTGTGGGCAGAACTGAAAAAGCGTGTGCGAGCAAGGAGGCCTACAAACCTGACTCAGTTACACCAGCTCTGTCAGGAGGAATGGGCCAAAATTCACCCAACGTATTGTGGGAAGCTTGTGGAAGGCTACCCAAAATGTTTGACCCAAGTTAAACAATTTAAAGGCAATGCTACCAAATACTAATTGAGTGTATGTAACCTTCTGACCAACTGGGAATGTGATGAAAGAAATAAAAGCTGAAATAAATCATTCTCTCTACTATTATTCTGACATTTCACATTCTTAAAATAAAGTGGTGATCCTAACTGACCTAAAACAGGGAATTTTTACTAGGATTAAATGTCAGGAATTGTGAAAAACTGAGTTTAAATGTTTTTGGCTAAGGTATATGTAAACTTCCGACTTCAACTGTATATATACTGCATTCGGAAAGTATTCAGACCCCTTGACTTTTTCCACATATCGTTACGTTACAGCCTTATTCTAAAATGTATTAAATTGTTTTTTTCCCCTCATCAATCTACAAACATAATGACAAAGCATAAACTGGTTTTAGAAATTTTTGCAAATTTATAACAAATAAAAAACTGAAATATAACATTTGCATAAGTATTCAGACCCTTTACTCAGTACTTTGTTGAAGCACCATTGGTAGCGATTACAGCCTTGAGTATTCTTGGGTATGACGCTACAAGCTTGGCACACCTGTATTTGGGGAGTTTCTCCCATTCTTCTATGCTCTCAAGCTCTGTCAGGTTGGATGGGGAGCGTTGCTGCACAGCTATTTTCAGGTCTCTCCAGAGATGTTAGATCGGGTTCAAGTCCGGGCTCTGGCTGGGCCACTCAAGGACATTCAGAGACTTGTCCCGAAGCCACTCTTGCGTTGTCTTGGCTGTGTGCTTAGGGTCGTTGTCCTGTTGGAAGGTGAACCTTTGCCCCAGTCTGAGGTCCTGAGTGCTCTGGAGCAGGTTTTCATCAAGGATCTCTCTGTACTTTGCTCCGTTCATCTTTCCCTCATTCTTGACTAGTCTCCCAGCCCCTGCCGCTGAAAAACATCTCCACAGCATGATCCTGCTACCACCATGCTTCACTGTAGGGAATGGTGCCAGGTTTCCTCCAGACGTGACGCTTGGCATTCAGTCCAAAGAGTTCAATCTTGGTTTCATCAGACCAGAGAATCTTGTTTCTCATAGTCTGAGAGTCCTTTAGGTGCCTTTTGGCAAACTCCAAGCAGGCTGTCATGTGCCTTTTACTGAGGAGTGGCTTCCGTCTGGCCACTCTACCATAAAGACCTGATTGGTGGAGTGCTGCAGAGATGTTTGTCCTTCTGGAAGGTTCTCCCATTCCACAGAGGAGCTCTGTCAGAGTGACCATCGGGTTCTTTGTCATCTCCCTGACCAAGTCCCTTCTCCCCCCCATTGCTCAGTTTGGCCGGTCGGCCAGCTCTAGGAAGAGTCTTGATGGTTCCAAACTTCTTCCATTTAAGAATGATGGCGGCCACTGTGTTCAGAAATATTTTGGTACACTTCCCCAGATCTGTGCCTCGACACAATCCTGTCTCGGAGCTCTACAGAGAATTTCTTCGACCTCGTGGCTTGTTTTTTTGCTCTGATATGCACTGTCAGCTGTGGGACCTTATATAGACAGGTGTGTGCCTTTCCAAATCATGTCCAATCAATTGAATTTACCACAGGTGGACTCCAATGAAGTTGTGGAAACATCTCAAGGATGATCAATGGAAACAGGATGCACCTGAGCTCAATTTTGAGTCTCATAGTAAAGGGTCTGAATACTTAAGTAAATAAGGTATTTTTAAAATATTTTGCAGAAATGTCTAAAAACCTGTTTTCACTTTGTCATTATGGGGTATTGTGTGTAGGTTGATGAGGATTTTTATTTATTTAATAAATGTTAGAATAAGGCTGTAACGTAACAAAATGTGGGAAAAGTCAAGGGGTCTGAATTATTTCCGAATGCACTGTATATATCACAGGTTGGTGTTACCTTAATTGGGGAGAATGGGCTCGTGGTAGTTGCAGAAGCAGAATGAGTGGAATGGTATCAAATACATCAAACACATGGTTTCAGCCATTACTATGAGCCGTCCTCTCCTCAGCAGCCCCCACTGATTATTTATATGTATGTATGTATGTATGTATGTATGTATGTATGTATGTATGTATGTATGTATGTATGTATGTATGTATGTATGTATGTATGTATGTATGTATGTATGTATGTATGTATGTATGTATGTATGTATGTATGTGTATACACACACAGGGAATAGGGTGCCATTTGGGACGCAGAAATACTGTGGTAGAATTGGTGGTGTCTTTCTATTTTTAAAATCGTCCCATTCCCTGCTGCCATGGTGGTGGCTGGCTGGATAATCTTTTATGAACCCCCTGCTATGTGGCACCTGCTTGGCAGGGTTACGCTGGGTAAAGGGCACAGCACAGCTGGAATGAAAAAAGTACAACCAGCTGTCACGTCTCTGTCTCCTGTATGTCCCACTTCACAGCCAAATCTGTAATCTAATCCATAGGATGCACTCAAACAAAATGTTACACAACACGTCAGTTGGGGTCAATTCCATTTTCAATTCAATCAAATCAGGAAGTTGGAACTGAAATACTAACTCCCAATAGGAATGTTCTTCATGAGGAAACACATTCATCTAATATTTTCTTCTGAAAGAAGTTGTGCGCTTGAAATATACACTTTGTGGACAGTTTATTAGGTACACCACCCCGTTCATGAAAATTGTTCGCTCCTAAAGTGAGTCATGTGGCCGTGGCTTGCTATATACTGTAAAGCAGGCAGACGGGCATCTAGGCATTCAGTTACTGTTCGATTTAACGTTACAATGGGCAAAAGAGTGACCTAAGTGACTGAGTGCGGCAGTGCCAGGCGAGCCGGTTCCAATATCTCAGAAACGGCTGGCCTCCTGGGCTTTTCACACATGACAGTGCCTAAGATTTACTGAGAATTGTGCGACAAACAAAAAACATCCAGTCAGCGGCAGTCCTGTGGGAGAAAACAGCTTGTTGATGAGAGAGGTCGAAGGAGAATGACAAGAATCGTGCAAGCTAACAGGCGGGCCAAAAACACACAAATAACGGCACAGTACAACAGTGGAGTGCAGAACGGCATCTCGGATCACACAACTCGTTGATCCTTGTCACAGATGGGCTATTGCAACAGACGACCACACCGGGTTTCACTCCTATCAGCTAAAAACAAGACAATGGACAATTGAGGAGTGGAAAAACATCACCTGGTCCGACAAATCCCAGTTCCTATTGCATCATGCTGATGGCAGAGTCAGGATCTGGCGTAAGCAGCATGAGTACATGACGCCATCCTACCTGGTGTCAACGGTACAGGCTGGTGGCGGTGGGTGATGGTGGTGTAATGGTTTGGGGAATGTTATCCTGGCACACGTTAGGTACCTTGATACCAATTGAGCAATGTTTCAAAGCCCCGAAGAATTCAGGCTGTTCTGGAGGCAAAGGGGGGTCCGACCCAGTACTAGATAGGTGTACCTAATAAACTGGCCACTGAGTGTAGTTCATCATAAAAACAATGTGTCATATAGTTGTGTATTTCCTCGCTCCGGGGTAAAGTTTCCCCTAGGTACAGATCTAGGATCAGCTTCCCCTCCCCCAATCTTACCTTAGCTAAACCAAGATCAGCATCTAGGGGCAACTTCAACCTACACCTATTTCCTCCCCATCAGAAACAAGACTCGACCACCCTGGACATGGAGCGGGCCAACAAGGAGATAGAGGTGCTGAGGAAGCAGTATGAAGCCATGTCTCAGGAGCTGAAGGAGGCGACGCAGGAGGCCGAGGTGGCCAAGTGTCGACGCGACTGGGCCTTTCAGGAGAGAGACAAGATAGTGGCAGAGAGAGAGAGCATTCGGTGAGTAGAGAGAGAAACATCCTGCATCCCATAGCACGTGGCCTCTAGAACCTGTCAGGAAGCCAACAGGATGATAGCTAAGAAACTCACAGTATATTAATATTGAAGACTCAAGGATCAGTGGCCAGTGCTGAAAAATTACAAGTGTTGAAAGGCTCTGTCTTAAATTTCCAGAGAAGATTGGGTGATTATTGGATATTTACAGAAAATTGGACAAGCCTGAAAGGTAATGAATGAATAGATTTAGATGACGTCGTGTGTGTGTGTCTGTCAGGACGTTATGTGACAACCTGAGGAGAGAGAGGGACCGAGCGGTGAGCGACCTGGCAGATGCCTTGAGGAACCTGGACGATACCAGGAAACAGAAAAACGACGCATCACGCGAACTCAAGGAGCTCAAGTCAGTTAGTCATCCCTCCACATCATCCATCCATCCCTCCATCTCTCCATTTCGCCATCCATCCATCCCTCCACATCCCTTTATCTTCAGAATATAAACCTCTCAAAACTATTTACAGTACAGAGGAATATAACCCTATTATGTAACTTTGCCAGTTCTGTAACTTGATTTGAAGTACTGTAGGTTTTGGTTCTTTACAACCAGGTTTTTATTGCCACCTAGTGGTTGAAATGTGAATCTAACAACTGGCTGTCTGTACATTTATAAGTTGGTCTTCAAATGGAAAGGTTGTTTTCAAAGTTTCTCTCTCTTTCTACAGAGAAAGGATTGAAGACCAGTTGGAAAAGGAGGCAAGTTTTCGTCAGCTGATGGCTCATAATTCACACGATTCAGCCATCGACACCGACTCTTTGGAGTGGGAGACAGAAGTTGTGGAGTTTGAGAAAAACAGAGTAAGTGTTTAGTGCTCACCAACCTATTTACCTTGGCCAATTCCACATGCATTGCTTTGTGCTATTGCCAAATCGAATTGAACCACAAAGAATGAATACAGTAGTAAAAGTAGTAAAACAGTAGTAATATTCAGAGAAACAAATCATGGACCCATTTTAGATAAGATATGCCTTTTTAATGCTAACATGAGGAAATAATGATGCTTTATTTATGTTGTTATTTCAGGAGGACATGGATATAAAAGCACTTGGTTTTGACGTTGCCGAGGGGATAAATGAGCCATATTTACCAGGAGACTGTGGGATATTTGTGAGTAAGGTGGACAGAGGAGGTATTGCTGAAGGAAGGTTAAGGTAAATCACACTTGATGGCCTTCTTCCTACTTTTGAAAAACATACCGTTATTATTAATCATCCACTGTGTACAGCTCTGCTTGGTTGCGTCTTTTCTCTACAAAGTAAATGATTGGTTGCTCTTCTCTCTACAGAGTGAATGATTGGCTGTTGAAGATAAACAATGTGGACCTGACCAATAAGGACAGGAAGCAGGTTCTGAAGGCAGTGCTGAGTGGAGAGGGAGTGATCAATATGGTGGTCCGCAGGAGGAAATCTCTGGGAGGACGCTTAATCACTCCTATTGAGATCAACCTCACAGGATACAAAGGTATCACTCCTATACAGCTAAAACTCACACACTAAAAACAAGTGCCAAATAAGTGTTCTTTGGCTTGTAACCATAGCGTATCCCTTTTTGGTGCTATATAGAACCTTTTTTTAAAGGTTCTATAAAGAACCATGCTCATAAGGTTCTAAATGGAACCTTTATGGTGCTATAAAGAACCAATTCCAAACTATAAAAAAAAAGGGCACCAAAAATGATTCTGCTATCATTACAACCCCTTTTGGTGGGTGCTGCATAGAACCCTTTTTAATGGTTATTTTACAAAACCTTTGTCTCAATCTCAAAGGTTCTACATTGAACCGTTTGAAGAACAATACTGGGTTATTTTTAATAAAATGTGTGTATGCTGAAGACATGACGTTATCCTCCCTGTTTCCCCCAGACAGTGGTATAGGTCTGGAGAGTGGGGTGTTTGTAGCTGGGGTCACTCCGGGCTCTCCAGCAACCAAGGAGGGTTCACTCACAGTCGGAGATAGACTCATCGCTGTACGTATCACATTACACCTGCTTTTATTATGAAAGCTAATATTGTTTTGCTACTATAACTGGGCCTGTGTCCATAAAGCATCTCTGAATAGGAGTGCTTATCTAGGATCAGTTTTGCCTTTTAGATTCAAATTAATGATTAGGGGGGGACCTAATCCTAGATTAGTACTCATACTTTATGAATAAATGGGATTGTGTTTTTTGTATGATTTAGTTTTTTGTTTATCTGTGTTTTCTTTGTATTTACTATTTATATATTTATTGATTGCATTTGATATTTGATGTGTGTATTTCTGTATTCTGCAGGGTTCATTTGTAAGAGACCTGGGTCTCAATATGACTCCCTTTTAAAATAAAGGTTAAATAAATAAAATGTATATGAAGCCTTATATATGACCTAAGTTGAAGGTGACCATTACTGACCTCTATTGTAAATACATGGTCACGTGATAATAATATATTTTTGTGTGCAAATCTCAGCTTGTTGTTTATGACCAACCGGATTCTCCCAATAGTAATTTTGCATCATCATATCTTAATTGCATTTCATAACAAATTCATGGATCCCCAGACAGTTTGCATGCATATTACCTTGGTGACCGTATTCATTTATAAATCATTTGGGCTATGTCTCAAATGGCACCCTATTCCCTATATAGTGCACTACTTTTAACCAGAGCCCTAGTCGTAGTGTACTACATAGGGAATAAGAGGCCATTTGGGACGCACACTTGGGAGTATTTAAGTGAAGACCTGCTTGCTTCCCTGCTATAACATTGTTTTGATACGAAGTGCTGACCTCATTTTCCCCTCCACAGATAAATGGAATTGCACTAGATAACAAGTCACTGTCTGAGTGTGAAGCTTTACTGCGGAGCTGCAGAGATGCTCTCAGCGTCTCTCTCATCAAGGTGAGTTAAGGCTGTGTGGCTCCCAAATGCCACCCTATTCCCTATGTAGTGCACTACTTTTGACCACGGTTTTGGTCAAAAGTAATGCAATATATAGGGAATAGGGTGCCATTAGGGATGTCTTCATCTACTGGCTCAGTTATAAATGCTGTATCCAATAGATAGATGTTAGCATGAGCTGTGGAATGAATATCTTGAACTGATAATGGTGGCTGAGAAAATTTGAAATATATTATTGTATTGGAACTGGTTGGTATGTTTATTTATAAATAAATGTTTATTTAGTCTATTAAGCTGAGGTATTAAGTTATAGTAACCTGTATTGGCATGTACTGTACCTTCCAGTAATGGGCAAGTAATAATCATGTTTCCTCAATTTTTTTTAAACAGTCAGTGCCTTCAGAAAGTATTCATACAATTTCATTTATTCCACAGTTTGTTGCGTTACAGCCTGAATTCAAAATTGATTAAATATATTTTTTTCTCACCAACAATACCCCATAATGACAACATGATTTACATAAGTATTCACACCCCTTTTGCAATGACACTCCAAATTGAGCTCAGGTGCATCTAATTTCCTTTGATCATCCTTGAGATGTCACTACAACTTGATTGGAGTCCCCTGCGGCCAATTCAATTGTTTGGACATGATTTAGAAAGAAACACACCTGTCTATATAAGGTCCCACAGTTGACAGTTTATGTCAGAGCAGAAACTATACCATGAAGTCCAAGGAACTGTCTGTAGATCTCTGAGATATAATTGTGATGAGGCATATATCTGGGGAATGGTATGAAACAATTGCTAGAGTGTTCAAAGTTTCCAAGAGGACAGTGGTCTCCATCATTGGGAAATTGAAAAAATATGGAACTACCTAGTCTCTGCCTAGAGCTGGCCGTCTGACCAAACTGAGCACCTGGCAAGAAAGACCTTGGTCAGAGAGGTGACCAAGAACCCAGAGTTCCTTGGCTGAGATGGGAGAACCTGCCAGAAGGACAACAGTCTCTACAGCAATTCAACAATCTAGGCTTTATGGGAGAGTGGCCAGACAGAAGCCACTGCTGAGAAAAAGGCAACATGACAGCACGCCTGGAGTTTTCAGAAAGGCACGTGAAAGTCTCTGAGTGCATAAGGCAAAATATTCTGTGGTCTGATTGTCACGATCGTGTGAAGGATGAGACCAACGCGCAGCGTGTTGAGTGAACATCGTAGACTTTATTAAGTTAAAGCACGACAAAACAATAAACCACGATCAATGAAGTTCCACGGTGCACTCACCGTAACGGAAACAAAAACCCACAACCCCACAGGAAAACATACAGAAATAAATATGGCTCCCAATCAGAGATAACGAGCCGAACAGCTGACACTCGTTACCTCCGATTGGGAGTCATAAACAAACCTAGAAAAACAACAACCTAGACACCCAACATAGAACACAAACACATAGACTGCACACACCCTGGATAAACAATAATGAGTCCCAACACCAGGGTGTGACAGTACCCCCCCCTAAAGGCGCGCACTCCGGGCGCACCAGCATACCGTCTAGGGGAGGGTCTGGGTGGGCGTCTGTCCAGGTGGCGGCTCTGGCCCAGGTCGTGGTCCCCACCCCACCATAGTCATTACCCACTTACTTAGCCTCCTACACATTACCACCCCCCAACTACACCCCACTGGGTTAAGGGGCGGCACCGGACTAAGGGGCAGCACCGGACTAAGGACCAGCACCGGGATAAGGGGCAGCACCGGACTAAGGACCAGCACCGGGATAAGGGGCAGCACCGGGCTAAGGGGCAGCACCGGGCTAAGGACCAGCACCGGGCTAAGGACCAGCACCGGGATAAGGACCAGCACCAGTCTAAGGAACAGTACCTGACTAAGTGGCAGCTCCGGACTGAATGGCGGATCCTGGCTGGCTGGCTCTGGCGGATCCTGCTGCTCATGGCTGGCTGACGGATCTGGCTGCTCATGGCAGGCGGAAGGCTCTGGCTGATCCCGTCTGGCGGAAGGCTCTGGCTGATCCGGTCTGACGGAAGGCTCTGGCTGCTCCTGTCTGGCGGAAGGCTCTGGCTGCTCCTGTCTGACAGAAGGCTCTGGCTGATCCTGTCTGGCGGAAGGCTCTGGCTTATCCTGTCTGGCGGAAGGCTCTGGCTGATCCTGTCTGGCGGAAGGCTCTGGCTGATCCTGTCTGGCGGAGAGCTCTAGCGGCTCCGATCTGGCGGACGGCTCTGAAGGCTCATGGCAGACGGGCGGCTTTGTAGGCTCTGTACAGACGGGTAGTTCAGACGGCGTTGGGCAGACGGACAGTTCAGACGGCGTTGGGCCGACAGGCAGTTCAGGCGCCGTTGGGCAGACGGGCAGTTCAGACGGCGTTGGGCAGACGGGCAGTTCAGACCCCGTTGGGCAGACGGACAGTTCAGGCCCCGTTGGACAGACGGCAGACTCTGGCCGTCTGAGGCGCACCGTAGGCCTGTTGCGTGATGCCGGAACTGGAGGTACCGGGCTGAGGACACGCATCTCAGGGCTAGTGCGGGGAGTCGGAACAGGGCATGCTGGACCCTGGGGACTCCCATAACGCCTAGTGCGGGGAGCCGGAACAGGGCATGCTGGACCCTGGGGACTCACCTCACGCCTAGTGCGGAGAGCAGGAACAGGCCGGGCTGGGCTGGTGAGGCGCACCGTATCCCTGGTGCGTGGAGTAGGAACAGACCGGGCTGGGCTGGCGAAGCGCACCGTATCCCTGGTGCGTGGAGTAGGAACAGGCCGGGCTGGGCTGGCGAAGCGCACCGTATCCCTGGTGCGTGAAGTAGGAACAGGCCGGGCTGAGCTGGCGACGCGCACCTTACACTTAGTGCGAGGGACCGGAACAGGCTGTACCGTACGGGGAACACACACTACTGGCTGCACCTTGGGACTAGGAACGGGCCGGACCGAACTGGTTACACACCCCAGTACCTCACGCCGTGCCTCAACACCTTCCCTCTCTGCTTTACCCAGTAGCCCCCTTGACCTGGTAGCCCACTGAATCCTACCCTTCTCTGCCTCCGTCAGCCCCCTTAACCTGGCCGCCTTCTGACTCTCCCTTGTGGCAGCCTCCTGCTGCTCCGTCGCCCAAGCCATGTGCCCCCCCCCAAAAATTTCTTGGGGTTGCCTCTCGTCCTTACGACGTTGAACCTGCTGCCGCCGATGCTCCTCTCTTGCCAGGGCCTTGATCTTCCCCCAAGGTCCCTTGCCTCCGAGCATGTCCTCCCAGGACCACACTGTGCCCACCTGGGCCATCGCCAGCCTCTCCATCTCCTTGCCCGGCGCCTCCTCCCATGTCCAGTCACCTTGCTCCTGGACACGCTGCTTGGTCTTTCTTTGGTGGGTTTTTCTGTCACGATCGTGTGAAGGAGCAGACCAACGCGCAGCGTGTTGAGTGAACATCGTAGACTTTATTAAGTTAAAGCACGACAAAACAATAAACCACGATCATGAAGTTCCACGGTGCACTCACCGTAACGGAAACAAAAACCCACAACCCCACAGGAAAACATACAGAAATAAATATGGCTCCCAATCAGAGATAACGAGCCGAACAGCTGACACTCGTTACCTCCGATTGGGAGTCATTGAACAAACCTAGAAAAACAACAACCTAGACACCCAACATAGAACACAAACACATAGACTGCACACACCCTGGATAAACAATAATGAGTCCCAACACCAGGGTGTGACACTGATGAGACAAAAATTGAACTCTTTGGCCAGTATGAAAATGTATGCACTCACTAACTGTAAGTCGCTCTGGATAAGAGCGTCTGCTAAATGATTAAAATGTAAAAAAATGAACACCATCCCGACGTGAAGCATGGTGGTGGCAGCGTCATGCTATGGGGATGCTTTTCAGCGGCAGGGATTGGGAGACTGGTAAGGATAGAAAGAACAATTGAGCCAAATACAGGAAAATACTTGATGAAACCTGCTTCAGAGTGCAAACGACCTTAGACTGGGATGAAGATTTACGTTCCAACAGGACAATGACCCCAAGCATACAGCCAAAGCAATGCTGAAATGGCTTCAGAACAAGAATGTGAAAGTCCTTGAGTGGCCCAGCCAAAGCCCAGACTTGAATCCCATTGAACATTTGTGGAAAGACTTGAAGATTGCTGTTCACTGCTACTCCCCATCTAGCTTAGAACTTGAGAAAATCTGCAAGGAAGAATGGGAGAAAATCCCCAAATCCAGATGTGCAAAGCTGATGTAGACATACCCAAGACAACTCGGCGCTTCTATAGAGTATTTGCTCGGGTGTGAATACTTATGTAAATGAAATATTACTGTATATCATTTTCAATAAATTAGCAAAAATGTATAAAAACATGTTTTCACTTTGTCATAAGATAACTAGGTGGGGCTTACATTTGTCCTATTTCACACATGTACAAGTTTGTATTTTGCAAATCCCACTCCCCCTGAGACACCCTCAGAGAGCCATTATTGACAGCAACCCTGGAGCAATAAGGGTTAAGTGCCTTGCTCAAGGGCACATTGACAGATTTTTTGGTTCAGGGATTGGAACCAGCCACATTTCAGTTACTGGCCCAACACTCCTAACCACTTGGCTACCTGCCACCAGAGTTCATTATGGGATGTTGTGTGAGAAATCCATTTTGAATTCAGGCTGTAACATAAAATGAAAATGTGGAATAAGTCTTCTTCTTTCTGAAGGCACTGTAAATGTTTCCCGGTCACAAACTTTAGGACTATGAACAACCTGAGTGGAAACGATGCGTTGACTGTAATGACCTCTTGTTTGCCCCTCACGCAGTTCCTCCCACAGAGTTGCTCCGGCCAGAGTATCTTCGAAAACCTGCGAGACGCCTCAGAGAAGACCTCCAACTGCCGCTTGCTCCACTCCTGCCCGGAGGTCCACTCCTGGCACTCCCGGAACTCCAAGCACAACAACAGCTCTACCCAGACGGACATGTTCTGCCCTGAAATTGGCTCCAGTGGTGGAGAGAGACACAACCATCACAACAAAGACAGGAGTCAGAGTGACATTGTAGACAACAACAGTAGAGATGGCTCCCTCTGCCATTACAACAAGCCATTCTCCAGTAGCTCCATGTACTCCCGCTCTCTGTCCCACAGGGGGAGCTGTCTGCAGCACAGCCCAGTTAGTTCAGCGCCCCTGGGGTCCCCAGAGCCCCACCAGGACTACTGCTACAAGAGAGGGGAGTCACACAGCAGACGACCTCTCACTTTCACCCCTGTGGCCTCCGACTGTATTACCCTGCAGGTTTGTCTTGGAAGGATGGAGGGAGGGGGAGGAATGGATGGATGGTTGGAAGGGTGGATTGATGTGGAGGTAAGGGGAAGAATGGATGGAGGGATGGATTGACTTCCATGGCTTACTTTGTAGTTTTTAGCAATCTCTACCTACATTCCCCAGCCCTCTTGGACTGCATGTAAAGTTTAATATTTAATAGCTCCAGAACGTTATTGTTTGTAATGTGTGTTGTAATGTTGTTATGTGTAAGACTGTAACATTTCCATTTCCACCCCGGGGTTCTATTCTATTCAGAGCACGCTGCTGGACAGAGACAGAGACAGAGGAGGAGGAGAGGAAGGACACACCACTACTCCAGAGAGCGAGAAGCCGAGCGGAGGCACCTGGCCTAAAGTCATGGTGGGTGCGTCCATCCCCGAGTGTGCCCAGCTCTCCATCTATAAGAAGCCCAAGCAGAGGAAGTCCATCTTCGACGCGGAGACCTTCAAACGGCCCGAGGCGCCCTCCAAACTGGACTACCTCTCCCTGTCCCAGCTACCAAAACACTCCCTGCAGGACTCTCAGTCTGAGGTGGGGACGGGGCCAGGGGTGGGGATAGGGCAGACCCCTCCCACCCTGCCTCAGAGGAGCGATTCGTTCAGGTTCAAACACCGCCATCAGACCAGCTCTGCCTCGGACTCCACCATCACCACAGGGACAGGCACCCCTCCAACCACCCCGGGCCAGGCACAAGGTGGCCTACCCCTGGTGGGCAAACAACAGGAGGGGGGGGGGCTGGAGGGTCGAGACAGAGCGAAAGACAGAGATTGGGACAGAGATGGGGAAAGAGACAGAGAAAGTCGAGATCGAGACAGAGACAGGGACAGTGAGAAGCAACATTACTACATAGACCCTCCTGGAGAGGGGAAGCAGCCAATTATCAGCTCCAGGAAGTCATGTGATGAGGATGTAGGCAGGCAGAGGGGGGAGGAGCTGGACAGGGACAGGAGAAGGTACCGGCCCAAATCAGCCCCTGCGTTACGCCGGAACATGACCCCTCTACACATCCACATCCCTATCCAGGTAATGAACATCCCTGAATGATTGATTGGTTGATTTATTGATTGGTTGTTTGGTTGATTAAGTAATTGAGCCCTGTGGCTGTGCTTTGCCAAACTTTCCAAGTTTCCTTTTGATACGATGTTGATATTCTTATTGATTCGCTATTACACTCAACAAATATTCACTATACAATAAACTCCTTTGTTTTCCACACACTGCATTTAGTGTCAGTGTGTGTTACTAGAGCTGATAGTTCCTATCTGTCTTTACTGTAGGTCCAGAATGTCTCTAAGGACGAGGCGTCTCCAGAGCCGGTGGACTTGGTGCGTTTCTGTCCCACGCGTTCCCATCGTTACAGCATGCCTTTGGTACCACCAGGATACAGCAGCACAATGGCTGCACGTAAGTCTCCTGTTACAACTATCTGAACAAGTAATTGTATATTAGATTATCTCTGTACGGCCATTAAAGATGTTTTTTCTAATATTATTTTGTCCACTCACTGAACTGTGTTTCAGTACAGGTGTGATATTGCACCTGATCGCTTTCATTTCCTGTTTTCTTAACTCTTACTTGCCCTGATTTCACAGATAGCGGCTATTTTGAATTGTGAATATTGTGATCATGTGTCTTTTTTACCTTATTGCATGGTAAAACGTAGAAGAGCGTCTGCTAAATGACTAAAATGTAAATGTCGCTGTTTTTGGTCATCCAGATCCCGGACACAGAGGTCTAGCCCCATGTCCTGCTGTCACCGCTGTGATGAGGAACCCAGTCTATACCGCCTGGAGTCATGATGTTCACACTAACAACAACTGTCCTCCTGCACCCACCTCAGGCAACCACTCACACTCTCACCCCAGGTAGATACCCCTCCTCAATTCCAAGCCAATTCCAGGTATCCCAGGTCTGAATCAGTCCCTGATTCAAAGGCAGTAATTAAAACCGGAACTTCATGTCAACAATGTTCTTAATGATCTAGATCTTACAATATGCACTGCTCAAAAAAATAAAGGGAACACTTAAACAACACAATGTAATTCCAAGTCAATCACACTTCTGTGAAATCAAACTGTCCACTTAGGAAGCAACACTGATTGACAATACATTTCACATGCTGTTGTGCAAATGGAATAGACAACAGGTGGAAATTATAGGCAATTAGCAAGACACCCCCAATAAAGGACTGGTTTTGCAGGTGGTGACCACAGACCACTTCTCAGTTCCTATGCTTCCTGGCTGATGTTTTGGTCACTTTTGAATGCTGGCGGTGCTTTCACTCTAGTGGTAGCATAAGACGGAGTCTACAACCCATACAAGTGGCTCAGGTAGTGCAGCTCATCCAGGATGGCACATCAATGCGAGCTGTGGCAAGAAGGTTTGCTGTGTCTATCAGCGTAGTGTCCAGAGCATGGAGGCGCTACCAGGAGACAGGCCAGTACATCAGGAGACGTGGAGGAGGCCGTAGGAGGGCAACAACCCAGCAGCAGGACTGCTACCTCCGCCTTTGTGCAAGGAGGAGCAGGAGGAGCACTGCCAGAGCCCTGCAAAATGACCTCCAGCAGGCCACAAATGTGCATGTGTCTGCTCAAACGGTCAGAAACAGACTCCATGAGGGTGGCATGAGGGCACGACGTCCACAGGTGGGGGTTGTGCTTACAGCCCAACACCGTGCAGGATGTTTGGCATTTGCCAGAGAACACCAAGATTGGCAAATTCGCCACTGGCGCCCTGTGCTCTTCACAGATGAAAGCAGGTTCACACTGAGCACATGTGACAGACGTGACAGAGTCTGGAGATGCCGTGGAGAACGTTCTGCTGCCTGCAACATCCTCCAGCATGACCGGTTTGGCGGTGGGTCAGTCATGGTGTGGGGTGGCATTTCTTTGGGGGGCCGCACAGCCCTCCATGTGCTCGCCAGAGGTAGCCTGACTGCCATTAGGTACCGAGATGAGATCCTCAGACCCCTTGTGAGACCATATGCTGGTGCGGTTGGCCCTGGGTTCCTCCTAATGCAAGACAATGCTAGACCTCATGTGGCTGGAGTGTGTCAGCAGTTCCTGCAAGAGGAAGGCATTGATGCTATGGACCGCCCATTACCCAGACCTGAATCCAATTGAGCACATCTGGGACATCATGTCTCGCTCCATCCACCAACGCCACGTTGCACCACAGACTGTCCAGGAGTTGGCGGATGCTTTAGTCCAGGTCTGGGAGGAGATCCCTCAGGAGACCATCCGCCACCTCATCAGGAGCATGCCCAGGCGTTGTAGGGAGGTCATACAGGCACGTGGAGGCCACACACACTACTGAGCCTCATTTTGACTTGTTTTAAGGACATTACATCAAAGTTGGATCAGCCTGTAGTGTGGTTTTCCACTTTAATTTTGAGGGTGACTCCAAATCCATACCTCCATGGGTTGATACATTTGATTTCCATTGATACTTTTTGTGTGATTTTGTTGTCAGCACATTCAACTATGTAAAGAAAAAAGTATTTAATAAGATTATTTCATTCATTCAGATCTAGGATGTGTTATTTTAGTTTTACCTTTATTTTTTTGAGCAGTGTAGCTAAACATAGATATGTAATAATTGGCTGCATTAATCTGATGACTCTGTTCTTCTCCTAAAGTCCCCAGCACCAAGGTCGTCTGAGCCTGGACTTGAGCCAAAAGCGATCTGGTGACTTAACGTCAGATTCATCGTCCCATAGCCAGGCACCACACAGCACCAACTCCCTGCCCTCCAGTGCCAGACTGGGTCAGTGAATGAACAAATTAATGAATGCATGCGTGAATGAACAAACAAATTAATGAATAAATACAAACTTTATTGAGCCGAAGATAATTTGATTTTTACACCATGAGCACAGGAATCATTTACACTTTAGCAGACGCTCTTATCCAGAGCGACTTATAGTAGTGAGTGGATATATTTTTGTACTTTCTTTCCTGTACTGGTCCCCCATGGGAATCGAACCCACAACCCTGGCGTTGGAGCACCATGCTCTTCCAACTGAGCCACACGGGATCATACATGTAGTCCTTTTACTATCGTGTCTCCCGAGTGCTAGCTGTGCCAGTAGAGATCCTGGTTCGAATACAGGCTCTATCGTAGCCGGCCGCGACCGGGAGACCCATGGGGCGGCGCACAATTGGCCCAGCGTCGTCCAGGGTAGGGGAGGGAATGGCCGGCAGGGATGTAGCTCAGTTGGTAGAGCATGGCGTTTGCAACGCCAGGGTTGTGGGTTCGATTCCCACGGGGGGCTAAGATAAGAGCATCTGCTAAATGACTAAAATTTATATTAGTATGGTATGGTCTTGGCATGAATGATATTAACATGTAAGATTTTCCATTTTCTTACCCCTCTAAGATGGAGGTTGTTAGTACTGTTAGTCTGTATGTTACTACTGGTAACTCACCTCTTATCTGTTTATGATCTTGACAGGTTCCTCTGGTAATTTACAGTTCCGGGCAGAGCGTATTAAAATCCCCCCTACTCGATACCCACGCTCTGTTGCAGGGTCTGATAGAGGTAGGTTGTTTCTCTCCTGCTGCTACAAGGCTCCATATTTGCAGTCCTCTGAGAGTCAGTGTATGAGCTTATTGAGTTATGTATGTATATATTGAATAGTGTTTCATGAATGTATTTGAAGGGATTGAATTATTTTTATGAGCCCATCAATTATGTGGTAACAAAAGTAGCAGTTCTTTACCTATAGGCATGGGATGACAACACAGTAGTAACCTATGTGATGACAACACAGTAATAACCTATGGGATGACAACACCGTAATAACCTATGGGATGACAACACAGTAGTAACCTATGGGATGACAACACAGTAGTAACCTATGGGATGACAACACAGTAGTAACCTATGGGATGACAACACAGTAGTAACCTATAGGATGACAACACAGTAGTAACCTATGGGATGACAACACAGTAGTAACCTATGGGATGACAACACAGTAGTAACCTATGGGATGACAACACAGTAATAACCTATGGGATGACAACACCGTAATAACCTATGGGATGACAACACAGTAGTAACCTATGGGATGACAACACAGTAGTAACCTATGGGATGACAACACAGTAGTAACCTATGGGATGACAACACAGTAGTAACCTATGGGATGACAACACAGTAGTAACCTATGGGATGACAACACAGTAGTAACCTATGGGATGACAACACAGTAGTAACCTATGGGATGACAACACAGTAGTAACCTATGGGATGACAACACAGTAGTAACCAATGGGATGACAACACATTAATAACCAATGGGATGACAACACATTAATAACCTATGGGATGACAACACATTAATAACCTATGGGATGACAACACATGAATAACCTATGGGATGACAACACATGAATAACCTATGGGATGACAACACATGAATAACCTATGGGATGACAACACATGAATAACCTATGGGATGACAACACATTAATAACCTATGGGATGACAACACATTAATAACCTATGGGATGACAACACATTAATAACCTATGGGATGACAACACAGTAGTAACTTTGTTTCTCCTCCCTCTCCTTTCTTCCACCATGTCACCCTCCTCTCACCGTCACCCCACCAGGGTCGTTGTCCCACTCAGAGTGCAGCTCCCTGTCCCACTCCACTCCTCCCATGTCCCCCGTCAACCTAGAGACAACATCCTTCGCCAGCAGCCAATCACAGAGCTCTATCTCCACCAGCGCCAGCCAGCCCAGGATATCAGTCAGCCCTGCTCTAATAGGGGACCGACGGAATGACAGGTACAAACACGCATGCACGCACGCATACACAGCGTGAAAACACACACACACACATAGACACACATGCACGCACGCACACATCCACACACGCACACACACATGCACACAGCCACAAATGTGCGCGCATGCACATGGGCACACACACAATCAGCACACTAGAGTCCTACATGGGTCAGTTTTTTGGAGCCACACCCGCCCCGTGCCTGCCACATCCATTCCGAGCCCCATCCAATACCCCACATCAGGACACATTATTCTCTGCAACCCGACCCACCCGCATAGAATAGTTCCGAGAGCTGATCTGTGACTCACAAAATAATATCAATTTATTTAATTGTTTTTATGACTCCAGAGTAGTATGATTTTATTCCCCTTCCCTGCATTAATTCATTTGTCTGCATGTCTATTCAACATTTGGATAAAAGGAAACCATGCCATGAATTAAGAACAATATCTTATTTTCTTCACAATGCGATGCGGCACATTGACAACTCAAATCGCCTTCTAATTAGCCTTCTTACCTAATGAAAGCATATAGCCGACATAACAAAACAATACCTCTACATTCAATATTGTTTAGATAATCAAATAGTTTAATTGAAACTTAAATGAACAATTCCCAGAATTGAATATAGCCTACAAAAATAAATGTATTTAGTTGGCTATACTCAAACTTTCACCAGCTGCACCGGTTTAAACTTTATATAGCGTATGTATGGTCTAAATGAACAAATTGATAATTAACTAAATTATTGTAAACAAATACCTTCTGGACACTTTTTGCAGGCTGTATAAGCCATCCATCTACTGGGTTGTTGTCCTTGTCCACAGTGACCAGGGATTTCACTCGGCAGCACTTTTTTCCACGATGGTGTATTCCCTTTCTTTTTATTTCTCTGGTTACGTTAGCCATTTTCGCGTGAGCTAGGCTAGCTAGGGAAAGTCAACTTGGCAATGTATTGTCATGTGGGGTGGGGGGACGGAACATAGCTCTGCACGTGGACCAATTAGAATGTTTCAGCATCACACAAAGAGACAGTCCCTGCTCCACACCTACTGCCTCCCTGCTCCACACTCTCTCACTGCCTGGCTGGTAGCCTACTGCCTCCCTGCTCCACACTCTCTCACTGCCTGGCTGGTAGCCTACTGTCTCCCTGCTCCACACTCTCTCACTGCGTGGCTGGTAGCCTACTGTCTCCCTGCTCCACATTATCTCACTGCCTGGCTGGTAGCCTACTGCCTCCCTGCTCCACACTCTCTCACTGCGTGGCTGGTAGCCTACTGCCTCCCTGCTCCCCATCTCTCACTGCCTGGCTGGTAGCCTACTGCCTCCCTGCTCCACACTCTCTCACTGCCTGGCTGGTAGCCTACTGTCTCCCTGCTCCACACTCTCTCACTGCCTGGCTGGTAGCCTACTGCCTCCCTGCTCCACACTCTCTCACTGCGTGGCTGGTAGCCTACTGCCTCCCTGCTCCCCATCTCTCACTGCCTGGCTGGTAGCCTACTGCCTCCCTGCTCCACACTCTCTCACTGCCTGGCTGGTAGCCTACTGCCTCCCTGCTCCACACTCTCTCACTGCCTGGCTGGTAGCCTACTGCCTCCCTGCTCCACACTCTCTCACTGCGTGGCTGGTAGCCTACTGCCTCCCTGCTCCACACTCTCTCACTGCCTGGCTGGTAGCCTACTGTCTCCCTGCTCCACACTCTCTCACTGCGTGGATGGTAGCCTACTGCCTCCCTGCTCCACACTCTCTCACTGCCTGGCTGGTAGCCTACTGTCTCCCTGCTCCACACTCTCTCACTGCCTGGCTGGTAGCCTACTGTCTCCCTGCTCCACACTCTCTCACTGCGTGGCTGGTAGCCTACTGCCTCCCTGCTCCACACTCTCTCACTGCCTGGCTGGTAGCCTACTGCCTCCCTGCTCCACACTCTCTCACTGCGTGGCTGGTAGCCTACTGCCTCCCTGCTCCACACTCTCTCACTGCCTGGCTGGTAGCCTACTGTCTCCCTGCTCCACACTCTCTCACTGCGTGGCTGGTAGCCTACTGCCTCCCTGCTCCACACTCTCTCACTGCGTGGCTGGTAGCCTACTGCCTCCCTGCTCCACACTCTCTCACTGCGTGGCTGGTAGCCTACTGCCAACTGCTCCACACTCTCTCACTGCGTGGCTGGTAGCCTACTGTCTCCCTGCTCCACACTCTCTCACTGCCTGGCTGGTAGCCTACTGCCTCCCTGCTCCACATTCTCTCACTGCGTGGCTGGTAGCCTACTGCCTCCCTGCTCCACACTCTCTCACTGCGTGGCTGGTAGCCTACTGCCTCCCTGCTCCACACTCTCTCACTGCCTGGCTGGCAGCCTACTGCCTCCCTGCTCCACACTCTCTCACTGCCTGGCTGGTAGCCTACTGTCTCCCTGCTCCACACTCTCTCACTGCCTGGCTGGTAGCCTACTGCCTCCCTGCTCCACACTCTCTCACTGCGTGGCTGGTAGCCTACTGCCTCCCTGCTCCACACTCTCTCACTGCCTGGCTGGTAGCCTACTGCCTCCCTGCTCCACACTCTCTCACTGCGTGGCTGGTAGCCTACTGCCTCCCTGCTCCACATTCTCTCACTGCGTGGCTGGTAGCCTACTGCCTCCCTGCTCCACCCTCTCTCACTGCCTGGCTGGTAGCCTACTGCCTCCCTGCTCCACACTCTCTCACTGCGTGGCTGGTAGCCTACTGCCTCCCTGCTCCACATTCTCTCACTGCGTGGCTGGTAGCCTACTGCCTCCCTGCTCCACCCTCTCTCACTGCCTGGCTGGTAGCCTACTGCCTCCCTGCTCCACACTCTCTCACTGCGTGGCTGGTAGCCTACTGCCTCCCTGCTCCACATTCTCTCACTGCGTGGCTGGTAGCCTACTGCCTCCCTGCTCCACCCTCTCTCACTGCCTGGCTGGTAGCCTACTGCCTCCCTGCTCCACACTCTCTCACTGCCTGGCTGGTAGCCTACTGCCTCCCTGCTCCACACTCTCTCACTGCCTGGCTGGTAGCCTACTGCCTCCCTGCTCCACACTCTCTCACTGCGTGGCTGGTAGCCTACTGCCTCCCTGCTCCACACTCTCTCACTGCGTGGCTGGTAGCCTACTGCCTCCCTGCTCCACACTCTCTCACTGCCTGGCTGGTAGCCTACTGCCTCCCTGCTCCACACTCTCTCACTGCGTGGCTGGTAGCCTACTGCACCCTGCTCCACACTCTCTCACTGCCTGGCTGGTAGCCTACTGCCTCCCTGCTCCACACTCTCTCACTGCCTGGCTGGTAGCCTACTGCCTCCCTGCTCCACACTCTCTCTCTGCGTGGCTGGTAGCCTACTGCCTCCCTGCTCCACACTCTCTCACTGCCTGGCTGGTAGCCTACTGCCTCCCTGCTCCACACTCTCTCACTGCGTGGCTGGTAGCCTACTGCCTCCCTGCTCCACATTCTCTCACTGCGTGGCTGGTAGCCTACTGCCTCCCTGCTCCACACTCTCTCACTGCCTGGCTGGTAGCCTACTGCCTCCCTGCTCCACACTCTCTCACTGCGTGGCTGGTAGCCTACTGCCTCCCTGCTCCACACTCTCTCACTGCGTGGCTGGTAGCCTACTGCCTCCCTGCTCCACACTCTCTCACTGCGTGGCTGGTAGCCTACTGCCTCCCTGCTCCACACTCTCTCACTGCGTGGCTGGTAGCCTACTGCCTCCCTGCTCCACACTCTCTCACTGCCTGGCTGGTAGCCTACTGCCTCCCTGCTCCACACTCTCTCTCTGCGTGGCTGGTAGCCTACTGCCTCCCTGCTCCACACTCTCTCACTGCCTGGCTGGTAGCCTACTGCCTCCCTGCTCCACACTCTCTCACTGCGTGGCTGGTAGCCTACTGCCTCCCTGCTCCACATTCTCTCACTGCGTGGCTGGTAGCCTACTGCCTCCCTGCTCCACACTCTCTCACTGCCTGGCTGGTAGCCTACTGCCTCCCTGCTCCACACTCTCTCACTGCGTGGCTGGTAGCCTACTGCCTCCCTGCTCCACACTCTCTCACTGCGTGGCTGGTAGCCTACTGCCTCCCTGCTCCACACTCTCTCACTGCGTGGCTGGTAGCCTACTGCCTCCCTGCTCCACACTCTCTCACTGCCTGGCTGGTAGCCTACTGCCTCCCTGCTCCACACTCTCTCACTGCGTGGCTGGTAGCCTACTGCCTCCCTGCTCCACATTCTCTCACTGCGTGGCTGGTAGCCTACTGCCTCCCTGCTCCACACTCTCTCACTGCCTGGCTGGTAGCCTACTGCCTCCCTGCTCCACACTCTCTCACTGCGTGGCTGGTAGCCTACTGCCTCCCTGCTCCACACTCTCTCACTGCCTGGCTGGTAGCCTACTGCCTCCCTGCTCCACACTCTCTCACTGCCTGGCTGGTAGCCTACTGCCTCCCTGCTCCACACTCTCTCACTGCCTGGCTGGTAGCCTACTGCCTCCCTGCTCCACACTCTCACTGCCTGGCTGGTAGCCTACTGCCTCCCTGCTCCACACTCTCACTGCCTGGCTGGTAGCCTACTGCCTCCCTGCTCCACACTCTCTCACTGCCTGGCTGGTAGCCTACTGTCTACCTCACCGCTCACAGAACGGAATTCGCAACACAATGCAACACAAGTTCCTGGGTTTGTAAAACATTTTATTTATTAAAGACCCACAATAGGATTGTTCTGAACCGCGAGCCGACCCACGGGTTGAAATAATGTTTTCACTCCACCCACCAGCTGATTTTTTTTGTTGGTCACACAAACGCATGCTTTGAGGTACCATCCCCATCACTTTGACTAGTTATCTGTTGCCTCATCAGTCAATGGAACATGTTGATGTATATATCCCACCTGTCTCTCTTCTGTCTGTCTTTCTGTCTCTCGTCTGTCTGTCTGTCTGTGAGTTGATGCTGATCTAGTGTTAGTGATGCAGTAAAACATCACTGTCTGGAAGCTGTGTCCCACGTCGTTTGTGATCTTCTATCACTTTATCTGTAATCTGTCTTTCCTTCCCAATTGTCTATCTGCAGCTCTCTCTGAATATTGCCTGCCTGCCTGACATACTCTCCTTCTCTTCGCTCTCTTTCTTGCTTCCCCCCTTTGCCTCTTCACTCTTTTTCCGTCTTCCCCTCTCTTTCTTATCTTTCCTTCTCCTCCCCCACTTTCACTTTCTTCCCTCTCCTTCCTATCCCATCTCTCTTCCCTCTCATTCCTATCCCATCTCTCTTCCCTCTCCTTCCTATCCCATCTCTCTTCCCTCTCCTTCCTATCCCATCTCTCTTCCCTCTCCTTCCTATCCCATCTCTCTTCCCTCTCTGCATCTCTGCTCTAGATATCTGTTCTATAACAGATCCTTTCTCCGCCTGCCTCTGGCTGTTAGGCCCAGGTTCTCCTCATTACGGAGCTTGAGGTTTGTTCTACACTAGTCAGGCACACAGTAATGGGTGCCTCTTGTTGCTTCAATTGACAGCTGGACTCTTGATTTTTCTAACATTGTTAAAGTACCTGCCTGTTTTATTTGCAATGCTTTAAATAATATGGCTCAATTAATGACAGGAAGCATATAAGAACAAGAGGAAAAGCAATCAGTGTGCTTAAAGTCCCCAAATTGTAAATTCGATGTAAATTCCCATTAATTCCGAAAAGTTTTTTTTGCCACTTTGAAACTTCCTGACATTTTGCAACGCTAATCCTTTGCTTTTTAGAAGTCCTTAGTGAGATGTTGAGACTAAGCTATAACATAAGCAGAAAATACACATTATATTCCTTTAAAGTGCCTTCAGTGCTTTTCACTAGTACCCTTAAAATTGCATGCCGGTGCTGTAGAATTTTGTCTGATCGCATGATTGGAACATGATCTGGAGCCTGGCTGGAACATCCTTTGTATGCAAAGCTTATATCTGTGTTGTAATACGCTTTAACAGAAGGAGGCATTCACATTCAGGCTAGTCAGTACTTTTTCTTATCATTTTCATTGGGCTTTGATATTTAGTATTATTTCAAATTGTGCCAAATTGAGGATGTTTTAACAGTATGGGTTTTGTGTATGTGTGTGTGTGTGTGTGTGTGTGTGTGTGTGTGAGTGTGTGTGTGTGTGTCAGTATTAGGTTTTGTAATGTTCTTCTTTCTGTTGGTCTCCTAAAAGGCCCTATCTGGAGGAGCCCCGTAACGTGACGGTACAGAAGGGGGCAGAACCGCTGGGCATCTCCATAGTGAGTGGGGAGAATGGGGGTGTGTTCGTGTCCAAGGTGACGGCAGGAAGCATCGCGCACCAAGCGCGGCTGGAGTACGGGGACCAACTGCTGGAGGTATATTTTCCTCACCTACATTTTGGGTCATAATCCCATGTAGCTCAGTTGGTGTCATGAATGTCTGTGGAATGCGGTAGGCCAGAGTCAAGCGCAGGACACAGAATGAAATGAAAATCTACTTTACTGAATAGTAAAGAAACAAGCAAAACCTCCAACACAGGGAGGAGCAACCCGCTCACAAACGACACTCGTAACAATAAACAAACACGCACAACACACAGTGGGGGCGAACAGGTTAAATAGGGAAGGACATAATATTATAATGGGAAACAGGTGTGCAACACTAGACCACAACCAGATGAACATAGAAACATAAAACATAGATCGGCAGCAGCTAGTACTCCGGTGACGACGAACGCCGAAGCCTGCCTGAGCCAGAAGGAAGGGCAGTCTTGGCAGAATCCGTGACAGTTGGTAGTGCATGGTGCTTGCAACGCCAGGGTTGTTGGTTCAATTCCCACAGGGAAGCAGTACGAAAAAATGATAAAAATGAATGCTTTATTTACGTTACAATTACACTACTGTAAGTTGCTCTGGAAAAGAGTGTCTGCTAATGGACTTAAATGTCAGAAAGTCATGATCATTAAAGGAGGTAACCATCATGTGCTATTTTTGCATTGTAATTTCAGAAAATGTCCTTAATATATCTGCAGTAATAGTGGAATGATAGGGTTTCACAAAATTGCATAAAGATGGTTCAGCCGGACCGGCTCTTGTTGTCAAATTGGCACACTGCCTCCCATCTAGTACCATCTAAATCGCTGTGAAATATATATTTTAATTTTGTATTGTCACATACAGCGGTGGCATTTCGCTACACCCGCGACTAATACATTTGATTTGAAATGTGTTGTTTTACAGGGTCAGCCATAGCAGTACGGCGCCCCTGGAGCAAATTATGGTAAAGTGCCTTGCTCAAGGGCACATCGGCAGATTGTTCACCTTGTCGGCTCTGGTATTCAAACCAGCAACCTTTCGGTTACTGGCACAACACTCTTATCCCTAGGCTACCCAAATATATTTTCAATAATGAAAAATATAGTATTTTCAACTGTTTGAAGCTGGTAGACGATACTGTAAGTAAAGGACTCAAGCGCGAGTGGTTTTTACTAGATTACACAGCCACAAAGTCTCCGCCGTGTTGTGGGGCAACGGGATGCGGGGGAGGGGGAAGAGTTGTTTATTTTCAGCCTAAGTGTTGTTGCAATTCACCTAGCTTCCACATGGGGGACACATTCTACATGTAGCACCGTTAAATCAAAAAACATGTTTAAGTGCAAGTTACCCACATTCTCGATCTTAATCTCACTCTCTATCTCTCACCCTCTTCTTCTTACCGTTCTGTCTCTCTCTGTCTCTCTCTCTCTCCCTCTCTCTCTCTCTCTCTCTCTCTCTCTCTCTCTCTCTCTCTCTCTCTCTCTCTCTCTCTCTCTCTCTCTCGCGCTGTCTCTCTCTCTCATCCCTCTCGCTCATCCCTCTCTCTCTCTCTCTGTCACTCAGTCACTCTCTCACTCACTCACTCACTCACTCACTCACTCACTCACTCACTCACTCACTCACTCACTCACTCATCTCTCTCTCTCTTAATCTAACTGTTGTTCTTTCTTTCAGTTTAATGGGATCAACTTGCGGAACGCCAACGAGCAGCAGGCGAGGCTTGTGATTGGTCAGCAGTGTGACACCATCACAATCCTGGCTCAGTACAACCCACACATGTTCCAGCTGGGAAACCACTCACGCTCCAGGTAAGCGCATGTACGCACGCACACACAGAAACACACACACACACACAGAGCTGGGAAACCTCTCTAACTCCAGGTAATAGGAGACTGATTTTGATTACATTCTCTTCAGTTCTCGTATGGAGTCCATCAGTGGTCAGCTTATCCCCCAGCTCAGCGGAGACACCACCCCAGACAATCACTCCGTCATCGACACCTTGAGTGAGCAAGACGAAGGGACCATGACACCACCTTCTAAACAGACCAGCCCAGCTACCAGCCCTCACAGCTCCTTCAGGTACAGGGGGTCATTATATTGTAGGAAAAAAACAACAGCTGGAGCATTCTGTTCCTTGGTGTTAGTTAATGATGTGTATGATATTTTGAATATATATTATGTATGGAACAAAGCATGGTCAAAGTATTAAGTGGAAAGTGGTCATCAGGGTTTAAGTCAATTCCATTCATATTCATTCATTTCAGGAAGTTGGAAATTCAGTTACCTTCCTGAATTGACCGTATTGAAATGATGGTCATTGGGTTGCCAGATAGACTGACTGTGGGAGTTTTCAATTCAGTCAATTCAGGAAGTTGGAATTTCAGTTACCTTCCTGAATTGACCGAATTGAAATGATGGTCATTGGGTTGCCACATAGACTGACTGTGGGAGGTATATCCGTCTCTGTCCAGGCTATCTTCTCCAGGTGCAGGTTTTCGCAGGGCCCCAGAGGTGAGGCTGGTGCGGCTGAAGAAGCCCCAGGGAGAGCTGGGGTTGCAGCTCTGTGGAGGGAACCTGTATGGTATATACGTTGAGAGTCTGGAGGATGACAGCCCTGCCAAGTGTCCCGACGGACTGGTGCCCGGAGACCAAATACTGGAGGTACAGTATACAGCCGTATAGTATGGTGAAGTATACAGTATAGAGGTAACCTGTATGGTACATACGTAGAGAGTCTGGAGGACGACGGGTACAGTGCTGCTTGAAAGTATGTGAACCCCTTGTGCAATTACAGATTTTTACCATGAAATCTTCATTTAATCAGAACCAGTCTTTTTGATCTGACATAACAGGTTTATATTTACCACTACCGATGAAATCATGTGTGTAGTAGAAAAACTAAATTAAAAAGGAATTAGTGCAGTTGCAAAAATAAGTTAACCCCAAGTTGCGTTGGTTAAATCAAGTAGGTAAGTAGAATCAGGTGGGTAAATAATTAGCTATCAAATGAACCAATCAAAGGAGAGATCGTTAGGAAAGAGTTTGGGCGGGACTCTGATAAATAGTAATAAGAAACCTGGTCAGTTTGGTGTTACCTATCCAGGTGAATGCAAAGCACACCATGCCGAGAGGAAAGGAGATCTCAGAGGACATCAGGACAAGGGTAGTGAGAGCACATCAGTCTTGGGAAGGCTATAAAATCATCTCAAAAAGATTTGAGCTCCATCAGTCCACTGTGAGGCAAATAATTTACAAATGGAGAGCATTTAACATGACAGCAACTCGGTCTAGAAGTGGACGCCCTTCCAAAATATCCCCAAGAGCCACAAGAACAATAATAAATCAGGTAAAAGCCAACCCAAACATAACCTCTAGAGATTTGCAGACCTCCCTTGTTGCATCTCAGGTAACTGTGCATGCTTCAACAATAAGAAGAACACTGAATCAAAATGCCATTCATGGGAGGGTTGCTAGGAAGAAGCATCTGCTGTCAAAAAAGAACTAAACTGCCCATCTTAACTTTGCCAGAGACCACTTGGACAAGTCCATTCTCTGGACCGATGAGTCCAAAATTGACAATTTTGGTCACAATCAACACCGCTATGTTTGGCGAAAACCCAACACTGTCTACCACCAAAATAACCTTATCCCAACAGTCAAGCATGGTGGTGGCAAGGTCAAGATCTGGGGCTGCTTTTCCTCCTCTGGACCTGGACGACTCCACGTCATTAAGGGAACCATGAATTCTGAGGTATACCAGGAGATTCTTGAACAGAACGTCAGGCCATCAGTCAAGGAGCTAAAGCTGGGCCGAAAATGGGTCTTCCAACAAGACAACGACGCAAAGCACTCAAGCAAATCTACCAAAGAATTGCTCAGGAGAAAGAAAATGTGTGTTTTGGATTGGCCAAGTCAAAGTCCTGACCTAAATCCAATCGAAATGCTGTGGCAGGACCTGAAGCGGGCAGTTCATGCCAGACACCCCTCAAACCTAACTCAATTGGTTCTGTAAGGAGTGGGCAAAAATCTCTCAAAACAGATGTCAGAGACTGGTTACTGGCTATAGGAGACATTTAGTCCAAGTTATCGCTGCTAATGGAGGTGCCACAAGCTATTGACTGAAGGGGTTCACATATTTTTGCACACATCAAATTTGAGTTTCTGTTAAATAAACCACTTTTGTTAAATAAACAATGAAAATATATCATATTTTTTGGTTTCTGTCATTTACTTGGAATGTCTTTATTACGAATTGGGGTTTAGATGTTTATTTTAATATTTTATAGCAAAATAATGACCAGCCCTATAGGGTTCACATACTTCCAAGCAGCACTATATACAGTCATGGTCAAAAGTTTTGAGAATGACACAAGTATTGGTCTTCACAAAGTTCAATGCTTCAGTGTTATGAGATATTTGTGTCAGATGTTACTATGGTATACTGAAGTATAATTACAAGCATTCCATAAGTGTCCAGGGCTTTTATTGACAATTACATTAAGTTTATGCAAAGAGTCAATATTTGCAGTGTTGACCCTTCTTTTTCAAGACCTCTGCAATCCGCCCTGGCATGCTGTCAATTAACTTCTGGGCCACATCCTGACTGATGGCAGCCCATTCTTGCATAATCAATGCTTGGAGTTTGTCAGAATTTGTGGGTTTTTGTTTGTCCACCCACCTCTTGAGGATCGACCACAAGTTCTCAATGGGATGAAGGTCTGGGGAGTTTCCTGGCCATGGACCCAAAATGTCGATGTTTTGTTCCCTGAGCCACTTAGTTATCACTTTTGCCTTATGGCAAGGTGCTCCATCATGCTGGAAAAGGCATTGGTCGTCACCAAACTGTTCTTGGATGGTTGGAGAAGTTGCTCTCGGAGGATGTGTTGGTACCATTCTTTATTCATAGCTGTGTTCTTAGGCAAAATTGTGTGTGAGCCCACTCCCTTGGCTGAGAAGCAACCCCACACATGAATGGTCTCAGGATGCTTTACTGTTGGCATGACACAGGACTGATGGTAGCGCTCACCTTGTCTTCTCCGGACAAGGTGTTTTCCGGATGCCTCAAACAATCGGAAAGGGGATTCATCAGAGAAAATGACTTTACCCCAGTCCTCAGCAGTCCAATCCCTGTACCTTTTGCAGAATATCAGTCTGTCCCTGATGTTTTTCCTGGAGAGAAGTGGCTTATTTTCTGCCCTTCTTGACACCAGGCCATCCTCCAAAAGTATTTGCCTCACTGTGCGTGCAGATGCACTCACACCTGCCTGCTGCCATTCCTGAGCAAGCTCTGCACTGATGGTTCCCCGATCCCGCAGCTGAATCAACTTTAGGAGACGGTCCTGGCGCTTGCTGGACTTTCTTGGGCACCCTGACGCCTTCTTCACAACAATTCAACCTCTCTCCTTGAAGTTCTTGATGATCCGATAAATGGTTGATTTAGGTGCAATCTTACTAGCAGCAATATCCTTGCCTGTGAAGCCCTTTTTGTGCAAAGCAATGATGACGGCACACGTTTCCTTGCAGGTAACCATGGTTAACAGAGGAAGAACAATGATTTCAAGCACCACCCTCCTTTTAAAGCTTCCAGTCTGTTATTCTAACTCAATCAGCATGACAGAGTGATCTCCAGCCTTGTCCTCATCAACACTCTCACCTGTGTTAATGAGAGAATCATTGACATGATGGCAGCTGGTCCTTTTGTGGCAGGGCTGAAATGCAGTGGAAATGTTTTTTGGGGATTAAATTCATTTTCATGGCAAAGAGGGACTTTGCAATTCATCTGATCACTCTTCATGACATTCAGGAGTATATGCAAATTGCCATCATCAGAACTGAGGCCGCAGACTTTGTGAAAATTAGAATTTGTGTCATTCTCAAAACTTTTGACCACGACTGTACAGTTGAAGTCGGAAGTTTACATACACCTTAGCCAAATACATTTAAACTCAGTTTTTCACCATTCCTGAAATGTAATCCTAGTAAAAATTCCCTGTCTTAGGTCAGTTAGGATCACCACTTTATTTTAAGAATGTGAAATGTCAGAATAATAGTAGAGAGAATTATTTATTTCAGCTTTTATTTCACATTCCCAGTGGGTCAGATGTTTACATACACTCAATTAGTATTTGGTAGCATTGCCTTTAAATTGTTTAACTTGGGTCAAATGTTACGATCTTTGTCCCCATGTGCAGTTGCAAACCGTAGTCTGGCTTTTTAATGGCGGTTTTGGAGCAGTGGCTTCTTCCTTGCTGAGCGGTATGACGGCTGCGTGGTCCCATGGTGTTTATACTATTGTTTGTACAGATGAACGTGGTACCTTCAGTTTGAGTTTTAATGACTCCAGTGACTCCAACCTAAGTGTATGTAAACTTCCGACTTCAACTGTACATACAGACTCCCTGGGCCGTGTGTAGCTCTGAAGTAGAGGCAGAGTTACTCAAACATACCTTTTTTCAAGCTAGCTACCTATTCCATTTTTTTTTATGTACAGTTAATTTGATGTTAGCAAACTATTCAGAGATTCACAAACATTTCTATTATTATTTTGCTCAATATTGAATTGATGTTTTTCAACAGTACAATGGTGTCAACATGAAGAATAAGACTGCAGAAGAGGCTTACCTGGAGATGTTGAAACCGGCTGAAACGGTCACGTTTAAAGTCCAACATCGTCTGGATGAGTTCACCATGCTCAAAGACTCACCAGGAGATGGTTTTTATATCAGGTACCGAAACTACAGTGGGGAAAAAAAGTATTTAGTTAGCCACCAATTGTGCAAGTTCTCCCACTTAAAAAGATGAGAGAGGCCTGTAATTTTCATCATAGGTACACGTCAACTATGACAGACAAAATTAGATTTTTTTTCTCCAGAAAATCACATTGTAGGATTTTTAATGAATTTATTTGCATATTATGGTGGAAAATAAGTATTTGGTCAATAACAAAAGTTTCTCAATACTTTGTTATATACCCTTTGTTGGCAATGACACAGGTGAAACGTTTTCTGTAAGTCTTCACAAGGTTTTCACACACTGTTGCTGGTATTTTGGCCCATTCCTCCATGCAGATCTCCTCTAGAGCAGTGATGTTTTGGGGCTGTCGCTGGGCAACATGGACTTTCAACTCCCTCCAAAGATTTTCTATGGGGTTGAGATCTGGAGACTGGCTAGGCCACTCCAGGACCTTGAAATGCTTCTTACGAAGCCACTCCTTCGTTGCCCGGGCGGTGTGTTTGGGATCATTGTCATGCTGAAAGACCCAGCCACGTTTCATCTTCAATGCCCTTGCTGATGGGAGGAGGTTTTCACTCAAAATCTCACGATACATGGCCCCATTCATTCTTTCCTTTACACGGATCAGTCGTCCTGGTCCCTTTGCAGAAAAACAGCCCCAAAGCATGATGTTTCCACCCCCATGATTCATAGTAGGTATGGTGTTCTTTGGATGCAACTCAGCATTCTTTGTCCTCCAAACACGACGAGTTGCGTTTTTACCAAAAAGTTCTATTTTGGTTTCATCTGACCATATGACATTCTCCCAATCCTATTCTGGATCATCCAAATGCACTCTAGCAAACTTCAGACGGGCCTGGACATGTACTGGCTTAAGCAGGGGGACACGTCTGGCACTGCAGGATTTGAGTCCCTGGCGGCGTAGTGTGTTACTGATGGTAGGCTTTGTTACTCTGATCACAGCTCTCTGCAGGTCATTCACTAGGTCCCCCCGTGTGGTTCTGGGATTTTTGCTCACCGTTCTTGTGATCATTTTGACCCCACGGGGTGAGATCTTGCGTGGAGCCCCAGATTGAGGGAGATTATCAGTGGTCTTGTATGTCTACCATTTCCTAATAATTGCTCCCACAGTTGATTTCTTCAAACCAAGCTGCTTACCTATTGCAGATTGTCTTCCCAGCCTGGTGCAGGTCTACAATTGTGTTTCTGGTGTCCTTTGACAGCTCTTTGGTCTTGGCCATAGTGGAGTTTGGAGTGTGACTGTTTGAGGTTGTGGACAGGTGTCTTTTATACTGATAACAAGTTCAAACAGGTGCCATTAATACAGGTAACGAGTGGAGGACAGAGGAGCCTCTTAAAGAAGAAGTTACAGGTCTGTGAGAGCCAGAAATCTTGCTTGTTTGTAGGTGACCAAATACTTATTTTCCACCATAATTTGCAAATAAATTCATTAAAAATCCTACAATGTGATTTCTGGATTTTTTTTTCTCAATTTGTCTGTCATAGTTGATGTGTACCTATGATGAAAATTACAGGCCTCTCTCATCTTTTTAAGTGGGAGAACTTGCACAATTGGTGGCTGACTAAATACTTTTTTCCCCCCACTGTATGTTGTCACTCGTAAATGTTTTCATATCAGATTGTTGCACGTATTACTTTTTGAAACATCAGTCAACTTACTTACTACCGTAATCCTCTTCACTTATGGAGTCACGTCGGGCCTGTAGTCAACATCTTACTACCGTAATCCCCTTCACTTATGGAGTCACGTCAGGCCTGTAGTCAACATCTACTACCGTAATCTCCTTCACTTATGGAGTCACATCGGGCCTGTAGTCAACATCCATCAGGTGCAAATAAACTGCACCCGGTTTTTACATGTCAATATACTTTAACTGTACAATATCACTGCGTCCCCCTGAAAATGATCTTTACATTTTCTAAATGAAGGCTAACCCATCTGTGTTCCTTCTCCTTTCAGAGCACTTTATGAGCGGGTAGCAGAGATGGAGCTGGAGCTGAGTTTCAAGAAGGATGACATCCTCTACATTGAAGACACGCTACCAAAGGGCAACTTTGGCTTCTGGATGGCGTGGAAGTTAGATGAGAGCGCACGCAAGCTGGCACGAGGGCAGGTCCCCAGCAAATACATGTAAGTCATACTGTACCTGCCGTAAATAAACTTGTGTCTGTAGAAATGTTGATACACAGAGATATTTATTGATTGCATTTGGTATTTGATGTGTGTGTTTTTGCAGGGCTCATTTGTCAATATGACTCCCTGTTAAAATAAAGGTAAAAAACATATGATAAGCCTTATTATAAGACTTTATTAAGGCTTATGCGTGCTAATAATATGTTTAAAAAGCATTATAAACTGGGTGGTTCAAGCCCTGAATGCTGATTGGCTGACATGGTATATCAGACCGTATACCACAGGTATGACAAACCATTTATTTTTACTGCTCTAATTACATTGGTAACCAGTTTATAATAGCAATAAGGCACCTCGGCGGTTTGTGGCATATTGCCAATATACCACAGCTAAAGGCTGTGTACAGGCACGCCGCGTTGCGTCGTACAGCCCTTAGCCGTGGTATATTGGCCATACACCACACTTCCTCAGGCCTTATTGCTTAAATATACCATTAACTGCAGGCAAGTAAAGTGTTACCGAACTTCACAATGTTATTGAACTGGGTAGTTTCTGAATTGGTTGCAGTCTTGATTCATTCCAACCCGTTGTACTGTGTTTTCCCCTCAGGATGGACCAGGAATTATACAGGAGACACAGCATGCCTGATATGAAGGATGAGAGCGGTACTGCCAGTAAGACCCTCTCAGCTGCCGCTCGCAGGTCCTTCTTCCGCAGGAAACAGAAGCACAAACGCTCTGGGTCTAAAGACGGGAAGGACCTAGTGGACGCCATCAGCACTGACTCACTGCCCATCATGGAGGGTGAGGAAGGACCATTCACTTCTTGCTGTACTGTAAATGATAACCGTGGAACATGAAGATTCTTGATCCATCTCATGTATGGTCATGGATAAAAGTGCCTCAAGTGTCATATGCTATTATTCATGTAGGTGCATAGCTAGTTTTCCACTGCAGTGTTCATGATCTCTGTGTTGACATAGTGCTTTAACGGCTAACTACCAGAGGGTCCAGGAGGTAGAGTGATCCAGTCCCAGATCTGTGCTGGTTCTGGGGTTAGGGTTAGGGTATCATGTACATACACACTGTAGTTTTACATCATTCTGCTGACGGTTCTGTGTGTTTTCTATCTACCAGATGGTGTGAGCCTGGCCTACCAGAGGGTCCAGAAGGTAGAGTTTTCCAGCCCCAGACCAGTGCTGGTTCTGGGGCCCCTAGTGGAGGCTAACAAGGACATGCTGGTGAAGGAGGCCCCTGGGAGGTTCTGTCGGTGCCTACCTGGTGGGCTGTTATGTTATGATAATGCTATGTCATGTTATAACAGGCCTATGTCATGCTATGATAATGCTACGTCATGCTATAACAGTGCTATGTCATGTTATGATAATGCTATGTCATGTTATGACAGGATTGTAAACCACTCAAATAAGTAAATTGATTGTCAATTATCATGTGTTATTTTATAAAGACTTATTAAATACTAAAATGTGATAATTTTTGTCTGTCCATTCAGAGGTGATGAAGGCATCTCAGCAGGCGATAGAACGAGGGGTGAAGGACTGCGTCTTCATAGACTTCAAACGAAGGAGCGGCCATTTTGATGTCACAACTGTTGCTTCCATCAAGGAAATCACAGAGAAGGTATATTTAGTTTATTTATTATTATTCATTTTACAGTTTAGTCTTATTGAGATAAAAACATATTTTGTAGAGAAACCAGTTCAGTATATTTTGTACATAGACAGGACTAGTAAATATCTGGATGAATACATGGCATCTATCATCCCATATTGTGACAGTGTGTATGTTATGGACAGTATGACAGAACCTAACAAAATGGCCGTTAGGTTTTGTCAGTTGATCTAATGATATGTCATTTTGGAAACATTCTTTGCTGTGCTGTCATTAATTTCTCATGCAAACCAAACTGGTTAGATTTTGTTGTCGTTTCTGTTTTGAAGGATTGTCACTGTTTGCTTGACATTGCACCCCATGCCATCGAACGGCTTCACAGCGTTCACATCTACCCAATCGTCATTTTCATTCGCTACAAAAATGCAAAGCAGATAAAGTGAGTACTAGCCCCCATTCTACTATAAAGAAATAAAATTGTGTTGCTGTATTTTGAGACAATGACCTAACACCACTGCTATCAGAGTCATCTGATTGGCCAAGCTATCACATCTACTTTCCCTCATGGAGTTCCTCTATTGAAATGTGAAAGCTCATGAATCTTCTTCTGTCTTCTTTAAAAACACCTGTTTACCAATAACAATGCTATCAATCAATCAACTGTATTTATAAAGCCATTTTTACATCAGCACTTGTTACAATGTGCTTATACGGTAACTCTGCCTACACCACAAACAGCAAGCAAGCAGCAGCACATTGGCTAGGTTGGAAAAACTCCTACCATTACCTCATCTACTGCCACTCCCCACAAGCTGTTTTCACAGTTACAGTTGTCTATTTTTGGCTACATGTTTAATTGTCTTTCTGTCTAGGCGCACTTTCATTACAGAAATTAAACCACAAGTTGATTATCTCAGATTCATTCCTATCACAGACACGTTCCAAAACAAATTAATCAAAGTGTAATTCATCTAAAACGGCCCTAGCCGACACTCCTCTCGGGATAATTGTGATTCATTAGAGAAGATCTGCATTGTTGGTTAAGGGCTTGTAAGTAAGCGTTTCACTGTAAGGTCTACACCTGTTGTATTCGGCGCATGTGACAAATACAATTTGATTTGATTTGATCTCTGGTTGGTATTTTCATTTGTAATCAGAGGGAAGATTAAGTCTGCTGAACCAAGCACTGAGGTCCTCTATGGATGCGTGTGCACACACACAGACATGCACACTCTCTCACACACAGACACAAACACAAACACGCCAGCGCTCTACTCTGACCTTTTTTACAAGGAGCACGTGTGCCTAAGTTGAAAAATGTAGGCGCGCACAAATACATTTAGCAGCACAATGAAAAATATTTGGGGTAATAAAGCTAGAATCCTTCATTATTTTAGGCGCACTGGTGCTACTAATGTAAACTTCCAGGTCGCACAGCAAAATATTTAGGTGCTAATGCGAATAAAATGGTCACACTGTAGAGCCCTGCACGCACACACACTCTCTCTTTCTTTCTCTCTCACTCTTAGACCCTCTCACACACACACTATCTCTCTCTCACACATACTCACACACATTCACAGAGACTAGTGCAGTGCGGCAGTGGACATGGAGAGGGTCTGATTGAAGCTAAGCCTTCTCTGTCATCAACTGAGTGCCAGCTGTCCCTGGGAGGGGAGGGGAGGGGAGGAGAGGCTGAGCCCTATAGCTCTGTGGCGGGCTGCGGTGGCGTCTAGCTGAGCCGTCCCTGTGACAGAGAGGTTGGAAGCTGGACCTGTCTCTTCCAGCTCTGAGCTTTGTACTGGGGGCTGGTCCTCTCTGTCTCTGAGAGAGAGTGAGAGAGGCTGGAGGTTGGGCCCTACAGTACGCTCCCAGCTCTTTGGCTAAGCCCTCGCTGCTCTCCACTCACTCCACGCCACCAGCAACCAGCAGAGGCCAATGATGTCATATAAACACGTGAATAGTATGTCTATGGCAGATGCCTTTGAGAGAGAGAGAGAGAACCAAATCATTAACCACTCCCTGACTTTCTATCCTTTGGATGGCGTCATATAGTCAATATGTAGACTGTAGGCCAGGCAGGGAAAGGAAACAGCACTTCTAGGTCAGGAGCAGACAGTTGACAGACCAGAAAGGCTCATTAGCCCAGTTGCCACCCAGTGTGTCTGTTTTAACTTTGACTGTACTTACCGTTCATTTGGTACAATACTATTACTCATCAACACTGAAATTGTAGTGAAGAGCAGAGACAGTCTTTATTTTTTGTTGTTGCTGTCATGTTGATTGACTTCTAGTAATTTTGTTGCTATGCCACCACAGTCTCTGTGTGATATCAACTGTGTACCATGTCACCTCTTTTTTAATGAACTGAAATATTTGATATTTAATATAATTGTGTCCTTTCCTTCATTCAGAGAACAGAAGGATCCTCGATACTTGTGGGATAAAGTCTCTCAGAAACATTCCAAGGAGCAGTTTGAGATGGCACAGAAAACTGAACAGGAGTACAGCAAGGTCTTTACAGGTTAGTGTTAAATAAAAAGTGTTATGTTCATATCATATAATAACATGCTAATAACATGTTTCAGTTTGTTGCTATGTGAGAAGGCCTGTCATATGTACCTACAGTCCGGAGTCAGACTCCAGGCCTCGAATTCATAAAGTCTCAGAGTAGGAGTGCTGAACTAAGATCAGGTTTGCCTGTTAGATCATAATGAATAAGGTTACATAGACGGAACCAGACCAGATCCTAGATCTCCTACTCTGAGACAGTACCGGCCAAGATTTTAAAACAGTATTTTTGTGTTGCAGGTATCGTCCAAGGAGGAAGCCTGTCCTACATTTGCACTCAGATCATGACAATAGTGGACCAAGAACAAAGTAAAGTCCTGTGGATTCCTGACAGAGCTTTCTAGAAGGATCCTAGGTGCTTCTATCTACGTAACACTTCAACCCTTAACAAGGAAGGGTGGGTACGATACACTTATCCACGGCTAAATGTTCAAAACTGGTCAACAATATCACATCACCGTTATTATAATAATCAACTGTGAGGTGTCATCCCAAATAGTGCACTATATATAGGGAATAGGGTGCCATTAGGGACACAACCTCTGATACACTCTCAACATAATAACACTTATCTGAAAGATGAAGATTCATATAGCACTGATTTTTCTCACACCCCACGAATAGAAGTAATAATCCCACTATAATAGTGATATCATAGTGATGCTGTATACTTCAGACAGGCCTAGAGATTCGTTTACACTAGTATTTAATATTGTAATGCTTTTTTACTTGAATGTTTTTCCCTTAACTCCACTATGGCACTCCTTGACTCTTCCTGGTCCTATGGTTCTGAATCATATGTCAGAATAGAAGTTGATGCATGGAATAGAAAAGAAACAACATTTTAGACATGTCTCAGACCTGTTTGTGCTGTAGTTGTTGTCATGACGGCACAAACAGATCTGGGATCAGGCTAGAAGACCATGTAATAACCATGATGAACTGTAGTTATGGTAACAGGTTCAACATGGGCGCAGCAAGTTTTTCTTAACAGAATGGACCACTGTGTTTCATCTTTATGTATGTTTTCTTTGTCATTTAAATTCTCTAATCCCAATCAAATAATGTTGGTTATGAACCTTCCTTTATAGCCTACAAATGTAGCAGTTAGTGAACAGAAATGATTGTGTATGTTGTATTTTTTCCCTCTGTTTGTCTGTCATAACATTTACATATTTAAAGACAAAAATGTACGACAAATTTGCATGATTCTTTTTTTTTCTCTTGTTGATGTAAATGAAATACATTTTTCTTAATGTTTATTTTGTAATTCATGATTTTTTTTATTTTTTATTGAAGCTTTATTTAACTAGGCAAGTCAGTTAAGAACAAATTTTTATTTACAATGACGGCCTACCCCGGCCAAACCCTGACGACGCTGGGCCAATTGTGCGTTAGTGGTGCAGTGCCTTAGACCGCTGCGCCACTCGGGAGACCAATGAGGCACAGACGTTTGTTTTACAACCCACTTACTGTTCTCAATGCAAGGTTTCCTTCTGTATGTTGTGCCAAACTAAACAGATTTGTTTTGCACCATTTATCCGTCAACCTTGTAATGCGTGAACACTAAGAAATCCAATAATACTTAACCGTAGGTACTATAGTTTCACCATGAGAAAATGTATGTGTTGTACAGTTGTTCCAATGTTCCTAACATTTCATACATTTCCTAATGGGCATCTTTCTATTACCCGAAATTTAGAATTAAAAAAAGGGATATTTGATTTCTGTTCTAGGGGTTTGAATGCGCCAAACTAAAAGAAGATGAATTCATTTATTTCAGCATTATGATGAACTGGTAAATTCCTTTTCCTTTTTTATATATAACATTTCATCTTCTCATGTTGGTTGAAACACGAAAGTAGCCTATAGATATAACTTCACTTCTCAATGAAATTCTATTATTTGTATCAAATGTTAAGAAAAATAAATACATGTGGGGAACGTTGTCCAAGTCCAAATGATTTGTTTGAATTGTAATTGCCATTTACATTCTACCATTACGCACAAACAAAAGCGTTCACCACAAGGCCAACTACCTCCTGAAACGAGGCACTCCGCTGAAACTCCGCACCTGCATATGTGAACTGGCACATTTGGAGACATACACTGTACACAGACATGCATATTTTTATCACAATATTCTTCATTGACTGATAAAGATTTGTATAGTTTTTTTCTGGATGGTGTTATTTGTGTTTGCACTCGCCTCTGGATTTTTATTTGTGTAGGAGTGCTAATAAGATGGTCTTTAAGGGGTGTGCTGAGGACCAAGAGTGATGAGCACTCTGATGGAGGTGTGGCTGCAGGAGTAACCTTCCAAGACAACCCACTCCTCATCTGTCCCCTTTGGTACTAGTGTATTTGGACTGGTCTATAGATGGAGCCAATGTATCCATATTATTCCAGGATGAGTGTGCCATTGTGCCCATTATCATGTCTGCATGATCTGTCTACTGTTATGTCTCTGTTATATTCATATTTTTCACTTTTTTTTTATACACGGCACAGCCAGGAGAGGACTGGCCACCCCTCGGAGCCTGGTTCCTCTCTAACCGGCACAGCCAGGAGAGGACTGGCCACCCCTCGGAGCCTGGTTCCTCTCTAACCGGCACAGCCAGGAGAGGACTGGCCACCCCTCGGAGCCTGGTTCCTCTCTAACCGGCACAGCCAGGAGAGGACTGGCCACCCCTCGGAGCCTGGTTCCTCTAGGTTTCTTCCTAGGTTCCTGCGTTCTATAGAGTTTTTCCTAGACACTGTGCTTCTGCCTCTGTATTGTTTGCTCTCTGGGGTTTTAGACTGGGTATCTGTAAACCACTTTGTGACAACTGCTGATGTAAAAAGGGCTTTATAAAGTACATTTGGTTGATTGATTGATTAAATGAATAGTCTATCTGTACTAACAGACATACTATACTCAAACACGGTACTAGGTAGTATAAAATGCAGTTCCCTAATTTGAAGACCAGGTGAGAGAGTAAAGTCCCAGGAATATCTAGCAGTAGCGTAGCCAGAAATTCATTGGTGGGTGGGCCTGCAGACATTCTACACATTTTGCCATTGGGCAAAGAGAAAAATGTGCAGTTTTATAGCTAATCTCATGCTATTCTACAAATTCTGCCATAAGGCTGAGGGAAAATGTTGCTGTTTTAAAGCAAATTTTCTGCAATTCTACATATTCTGTCATTGGGCAGGGGAAAATGTGCAGTTTTAAAGCTAATATTTACATTTACGTCATTTAGCAGACACTCTTATCCAAAGCGACTTACAAATTGGTGCATTCACCTTATGATAGCCAGTGGGACAACCACTTTACCAATTTTGTTTTATATATATTTGTTGTTGTTGTTGTTTTTTTTTGGGGGGGGGGGGGGGGGGGGGTAGAAGGATTACTTTTGTACTATCCCAGGTATTCCTTAAAGAGGTAGGGTTTCAAGTGTTCCACCGTTGGGGTGCCAGAGCAGCGAACAGTTTTGACTAGGCTGAGCGGGAACTGTGCTTCTGCAGAGGTAGGGGGACCAGCAGGCCAGAGGTGGAAGAACGCAATGCCCTCGTTTGGGTGTAGGGACTGATCAGAGCCTGAAGGTAAGGAGGTGCCGTTCCCCTCACAGCTCCGTAGGCAAGCACCATGGTCTTGTAGCAGATGCGAGCTTCAACTGGAAGCCAGTGGAGTAATATCATGCTATTCTACACATTTTGCCATGCGGCTGAGATAAAAATAAATAATTAAAAGCTAAAATATAGGTGTGTTGACTGTGATAAAGGGACTGGATTATGTGCTGTCTTGTTTGCTAAATCAACAAATAAAGTAGGCAGTGATATCCATAGAAGCACAGTGACATATGCCTCAATGCGGTCATATTTGTGGCTTATTGGGGGTGTGGCTTTCAGTTAGTTATTTTTGGCCACCCATGAGAGTGAATGTCATCCGAGTTAATCTGAATGTCATTCCAGTGCACTGCAAGCTATTAATTCCAACTGATGGTGTTTGCATGTTTAGATAAAAATACAAATAATGTCCCCTTTGGAACACTGACAAGTAGAGAGCATTCCATTTTTTATTTGTATTTTTTTTGTTGCTCAATCTGATTGGGTGGGCCTGGGGCTGGGTGATAGTGGCTGGGTATTAGCACTGTGATTATCAATGAATGGATCGTTTTTGAAAACATTAAAAATACACTTGAGATATGCAATGCAACTGTTGGTCATAGTTGAAAGTCATTACTAATTGATTGTTTCAATACTGATCCTGATAAGGTAGCCTCTGAATAGCCATTCCATTATCAGTCCATGATGTACCAACTTTCCAGTGACAATAACAGAGACAATGGATATCCGATCAGAAAAGTGTAGGTCAAACAGGATGTTGTGTGTGTTAGCTAGTTTTTTCAGGATGCCGTCCCACGGTCTTGATTGAATGGATTTTAAGTAAAAACCTACAAGCACCTACCTGGACGTGAATCCCTTTTTGTGGATATAATTTCCCTTTTTCTGTACCTACACGCAAGTATATTTAGGTCCTTGAATTTAAACGAGGTTCTCCACTGTAAAAGCTCCTGCTGTCTTTTCCTGCCTGGCCATGTATGCAGTCTAGGGCTACATATTGAGTGTATGACGCCATCCAGAGCATGGGACAGGGACTGGGAATGGTTTATGGTTTGGTTCTCTCTCTCAAAGGCCTTCGTTGGCTAGAGATGTTGTGGTGTTTAACGTTAGCAAGGTGCCCACTGTTATAGGCTTTGGTTTTTCCATTTATACTGAACAAAAATATAAACGCAACATGCAACTATTTCAAAGATTTTACTGAGTTACAGTTCATATAAGGAAATCAGTCAATTTAAATAAATAAATTAGGCCCTAATCTATGGATTTCACATGACTGGGCAGGGGTGCAGCCATGGGTGGCCTTGCAGGGCATAGGCCTACCCACTTGGCAGCCAGGCCCATCCAATGGGGAGCCAGGCCCAGCCAATCAGAATTAGTTTTTCCCAAAAAAAGGGCTTTATTACTGACATAAATACTCTTCAGCACCCCCTACCTCCGCTCAGACGATCCCACAGGTGAAAAAGCCGGATGTGTAGGTCCTGGGCTGGCGTGGTAACACGTGGCCTTCGTTAGTGAGGCCGGTTGGATGTTCTGCCAAATTCTCTAAACGACGTTGGAGGAAGCTTATGATAGAGAAATTAACATTCAATTCTCTGGCAACAGCTCTGGTGGACATTCCTGCAGTCAGCATGGCAATTGCACGTTCCCTCAAAACTTGAGACATCTGTGGCATTGTGTTGTGAGACAAGACTGCACATTTTAAAGTGGCCTTTTATTGTCCCCAGCACAAGGTGCACCT